CTGGCGGTGCCCATTGCACCTGTTCCAAGTGCGTAGCGAAGATCTCAGCATTGGAGTCCATCGCCGTTAGGTTACTATGGGTAGATGGGGGCTCCAAACGAAGAAGTCTAGATTGGAAAGGGCTTTTCAAACGTTTGATAGGGTCCCAATGTGCGTCCTCAAGCTGAATATTCAACCATGCTTTTTTATCTTGGCGAGCCGACTTCTTAATACTCTTGTTGTATTTTTCCACGGCCTCAAGATCTCCAGCTTTCCGCGCCTCCCCCCGGGCAGCTATGAGGTCGAGAGTGGCGGGGCTAATCCACTCTTTTCGCGGCTGCTGAACACGTTTTGGAATATGGTCGGTAAGCGCCGCTAAATAGATGTCTCGCAGCTCCTCCCATTTCTGCCCTGGCTCATCATTGGGCTGTTTGCTTGCGAGTTGTGTGCCCACTTGCGTATTCATGTTAATGAGTGTTTCTTCCGTGGCCCGCTTGAAATCCCAACACGGTTTGCGCGCAGATATTTGCCTGGCTCCAAGAGACATTTTAACCTTGGCCAATATGGGGAAATGGTCGCTGTGGATATTACCAAAAGGGTCAGAAAATACATCTTGAACAATGTTTTTCCATCTTTCCGGACATAAACAAAAATCAAGTTATACAAAATCAGAAGGGTCCCATGAAGCAAAATCTGTTGGGAGCCGGGTTGTACCAGGATCCTTGAATGTTACCTGTTTCGAAGAACTATGTTGGAACCAGGTATTGGAAACTAGGAGCTGATTCTGGAAACAGAAATCGAAGAAGAAGCTTCGATTGTCGTTTTCACCACCAATGAAAGAAACACCTTTACCAAAGAGGTGGGGTCCTAGGGCAGCCTTATCATGCAATTTACCGTGCAGCCTGGCATTAAAGTCACCCATGATAACAAAAGGCCCTTTAGTTTCCACGCGAGCAACTAGTTGGTTAAGTTCGTCATAAAAAGCGTGTTTCGTGTCCTCTTCATGCTGATTATATGGGGCATGTGCAGTGAGAATGGAGAACTCCCCCGCCCCTGTGTTAAAATTCATTCCCGCCGTCCGGCTGCTGGCCGGCAATGTTCGCAGCAGGGCAGCCCTAGCTCTGGGCGACAAAACAAAACCTGTTCCCAAATACTCTTGTTGGTTTGACGGGGCATTACTGAAAGTGTAAAAACAATAGGAATCCACCATGTAATAAGTAGTTTGCCTCGACTTCGTTTCTTGCAAGCACAGAATGTCAATATCTTTCTTTCGTATGTACTGGGTGATTTGGTGGTGCATGGTGCTCTTCAAAAGGGAGCAAGCATTTAGAGATGCGATGTGCATAGTCATACCATACAAGATTTTGTGCAACAGAGGTAAACGCTTTCTATTGTCAGAATGATCCTCATACATGTTATAGCCCGCATTCTGGGCGTCTTTCAAGGACTGAGAAGCAAGTCGATTGGGGAAGTCGAGACTACCGTTGCCCAAACGGCGCCTTTCTAGATTCATGTGTTTTGTACCAATGTTGGATTTACACCACCGATACCACCTACGGTGGTAGTTGCGTCTGCTACTTCTGTGTGTTTTCCGGGTGGTTTCTGCAATTTGGGACCTCTTACCTCTCTTTTTGGTGGACCGAGTGTTTCTTTGTAGCCGCTGGGACGTGCAATTGTTTTTCCTTTTCGCAGAGAAATGGTCGTAAGAAATGGTCGTATTTTGATCTGGGAATCTTGTGTCCCGCGGTTCGCCCGGCTTACCTTCTGGGCGGTGTTGTGGCAGGTGTAGAGAAATGGTCGTGAAAAAAATGGTCGTTTTTATAGGATGGGCCTAGTGTGGGTCCTGATATTGTGTGCTTGGTGTTTTGTCCGTTTGTCAACGGCGCTTTCCTCCGCCTTTGGCAGAGTGGGCGCGGAAAGGGGCCTCAGAATCCTCCATGTCAACGTCCTGGTTTTTGGTCATCTTGGCGTTTTTAAGGGCTGCATATCGCGCGTCCAGGTTGTTTTTGACTTCGTCGGTCAGGGCGTAGATCTGGACCTGAAGGTGCTTCTGGGGGCGGCTGTCCTTGCTAGAACCGGGGGCTTTCCATGCCGACCAGTCTTCTTGAAATTTAGTTTCAAATTCTGCTTTCACGTGATCCGGCACATAGAGCTGAACTTTTGTAATGTCCTTATCGTTGGTGTTCACGGCGAGTAGCCATTTATCTTGCCATAGGGCTTGGATCTCCCAGGTCGGGCTGAATTTGGGGTTGTCTCCTATGATGTTGGCCAAGGTCTTCATTGTGCATTTCATCGGGGTATCTTGTTCACGACGGTATCGAGGAATTTGTGGTCTGCCTACAATGGTGTTGCCTTGTACTTGATGGGGGTCCCGTTTAATGTGCTGTAAGAACTCGTTCCTGGCTTCCTTGTCCCACATATCAACTATGGTGAAGGGAGCTAAGCCGTTCTTGGTCTTCAAAGTGGTACTCCCCTGGTACTTGTTCATAAGTCCGTAGTAGTTGGCCATCCGTTTAATTTCCTTCTTCCTTTCTTTTTCGTCAATCTTGGGCCATTCCATCAGGAGAAGCTGTTTGGAAACTTGTAGTTCTATGATCTCGGTGAACTAGTGATGCTGTTTGGGTTGCAACCCAGTCCACGCTGTTAAGTCTAGCTGTATTTTCGTGTACTTGTTCTTGGAGTACTTTGAATGTTTGGGCCTCTAAAAGGATTTCATTGGGCACCTCTTCTTTGCGTTCGAGCGCTGTTTGTCCTATCCCAGCTAGTAGGGATCTGGATCTTTCTGCCATGGGTGGAGAATCAAGGGAAAAAAGGTCGGGTTCCTGCCTATGTTCGGTCCGAAAAGCCTATAAAATATATATAATATATTTTTAAAAATATTTATTTTTTAAAATTATTTTATTCACTATATAAATAAAAAATAATAATATAAATTTATCATTATCGAATATATATATATAAATATAATATATATAATTTAATTATATAAATAATTTTAAAACCATTAATAATAATAATCTTTATAATTAAATAATATATATATATATTTTAAAATATTATATTAAAATAATTTATTTTATTAAACCAATATAAATCTAATAATATTTTTAAATAAATTATAATTATATTTTAATAATAATAATAATATATATATATATATAATCCATGAATATCTAATTTTCATACCCTACATTTAAAAAATGAATTTAATTATTAAGAATAATTATTATTCACTATATAATATTATGAATATCAATATCATTATCTTGCGATTTCCATCATTATTCATCATTCCTCATTCCTCATCATCATCATCATCATCATCGCCATCACCATCATTGTCCTCACCATCCATCTTCCGCCAGCTGCAATCTTCCGTCATCCGTCTGTCGTCTGTTATGCCGTTGTTTGTCCTAGATTGCTCGTTGCCTGGTAGCGAGAATTTACGGGCGGCAGGGCTTACGTCTGTAAGTTTCACGGCAGCATCATCTTGTGCATGTTGTTCTGACCTATCCCCGTACGATTAAAAATGAGACTCCTCGATGAGGCCGTCAAAGGCGATTCTGTGTTGGAGGTGCTGGAGAAATACAGCAAGATTTTGCTGCTTCAAATTAACGGGGCGTTTCAACACTGAACAAATCATCACACGGTTTCAATGTGGTTTGCTAAATTGGCGGACTGTTATGTGTTAAAGATTTCCTACCAAGCTCTAGAATCTCCATGTGCAGCGTCAGTGACCTGTAGGAAGGTGAGATTTCAAAACTGGAAGAGTTTTCCCGGGCCAGATAGTTTCAGGAGACGAAGGATGGCAAAGCTGCAAAGCTATTCTTGTGTATTGGCCATGGATTTCAAATACTTAAAAAAATATCAGACAATGGAGGCTATGGTCACGATTCCAAGAGCCATAGTAGAAATTGAGGTGCTCCAAAAAAAATGCTTAGCGAAAATGAGAACGGCAACGGTTGAACAATACCCCCGATGTCTGGATGCGGATTGTGAGGGGACCTGATCTGTTCAGCCTGGAGACTAGCGGAACTTCCCGGGCTTCCTTGTAGATTCAGCCGAGGTTTGAAAAGTTTCCACGCTTCAAACATCTTAAAACTATGGGAACTGATGAGGATAGACTGAGACAAAATGTGGTTGATGATTCGTTGGCCTGGTGTGACGGTCGAAAAGTTTGGCACGAGCTTGCCGATTTTCACTGAATGAATATATAATCTGAAAAACACTGCAAAAATCAGGTTATCAAAGCACAATCTGCGTCAAATCTGTGTGGTTTTGCGGCGGGGACATCAGACTCACAATCCAGCAATCAGCTGGCAATTTATGCATGTTTGCCACGCATTCAACGCTAGGGGCCTCACCAAACTCCCACATTGGGGGTTCTGCCAATCGCTGCCCAATCGGCACAGTCAAACCACCGGCTCTCATCGCCCGGTCCTAAAATATGTGAAAGTTACAATTTTGTTTCTACCAATTTCCGTATCCCAGGAATGATCAAAGGGAAGACCTAGCAGAATCCCCGACAACTTTTTTTGGGTTATCCCCATGGTTTCCTCCATAGAATTGTCCAACCAATCCAACTGTGCAGGACCCAGTAGGTCAGATAACCACGACTGGGGCAATGTCCAAAATCGAATCGAACATCACTTAAAAACAGAAGCCATGGGATTATTGCTATATCAAATCATCAAAATCTATGCAGATTGGAGTTTTTGCTATATCCAAAAATGACAGTAGCCATGGGGATTAAAACATTGGAATCCCCAACGATCATTATTTTTTTTCGAGACTGAGCGAAAGCCGGGCACCTTGGTATCAACAACATGGGATAAAAATGGTTTATTGTCATCCATCCTTGGGAATCCGCAAATAAAGATTGTTGATTTCATGGGGTGCTCACCATCCCGCAATATGAATATAATTGCAATCCAACTTTTGACCATGGCACATGAACATTTCAGGCAAATAACCACCAACCTTACTCATCTCCATCAAACTTATCTCTTTACTTGATTTAAGTTTCCTTTTCGAATCTTGCTCTTCCTTGCGCAGCAAGGACGGCTTGAAACATGCCGACAACCTATTCACCTTCGCTCACTTCAGCATCGACGTGCACCTTTTGTGTCCACCACAGATACCAGCCGGCCTTGGTAGCCAGAAACTTCCATGGGGGATGCCTGTCATGGTGAAAACCAAAGCCAAGCCCTTGACCTGAACGATGGCCAAGGTCGTGGACAAGGTGCCCACGAAACACAAGCCTCGTTTTTTGGGCGACGGTAGTGGGAACAGCGGCTTGTGCTGAAATATTTTTCCGCCACCCATATCATATGTAGTTTCTTGATGGTTTAAACTTCCAAGGCTTTGACGTAGATGTAATTATAATATACTTTAGGTGGAACCTAGAAACCAGGATCCCTCTCCCAAATTATCCATTGAATCATTTTCCCGTAAAATATCAGCGCCAAAAAAAACGTGGCGCCCATCACCCACCCAATCTCACCATGTTTGTATCCAAAGTCACTGATTTGCACCCTGCTATCCTGTAGCAGCCATATCAAACCTGGCATGGATCGTTTGGCCGTGTCCGGACACCCAGAAAATGGCAAAGGATTAAATCTTTAAATCTCCCCATATCTTCCCATCATTTTTTCAGCCTGTTCCATCCTTTTGCGTCATCTTTCACTGCTAACCAGAAGCATTTCCCCCATCCAATGGGCCTCTGACAATCACCAGAACCCATGGTCTAAAACCTTCTGCAACGGCTGTGAATTGGATGCATTATATACTCTCATTTTTGAAGCAAATATTCTTGCTGATCATAATTTCTGCAATCAAAGTTGCTCCACCATATCCATTCATCTCATATATTCCTATGAAATGCTTGATTTCATCCACCCAAACATGGTCAATCTTAGATACCCTGCAGAACATAACAATAAACATAGCTGATTAGTGCATCTCGCCCTTTCTTCTGGAAAACAAACCAAGTACTAAACTACACATCCCCAGTTGGTATCCTCCCACTTTTGACAGTTAAGTGCCTTTACGGTAAGCGTTAACCCACCATTTTTGATGGTTAAATCCTTATCCATTCAATCAGTTTACCCATCCATACTTGTGGGTGCAGTTGAGGTTATGGGTACGAGGCCATATGAGAACTTATGGGGGTTGTTCCGAGTTGTCCACCTTGGTTCCCAGCAAGACAATCACAATTACGCCCCCAAATATAGGATTTCGATTCCTTCTACTAAAAAATCGCACGCACACACACATATATTTATATGTGTATATATATATAATATTTATATGTCAAAATTCTCAACCTCAAATGCCAATTAATGTTTAGATATCAATTGATATATCCAACATTTTTGCCCAACCACGCCTTCTCCATTGACCCTGTAGGACAACACTTCCAGCTGCGCGAAACCGCCCTGGCGTAGCCAGCGCTGCAAGGTCTGCTGCGAGCTGCGAAGCAACAAAGCCTGGAAGCGTCATAGAGGTTTGCTAAAATGGGGGGTACGGGGGTACCCCAAAATATATGGTTTATAATGGAAAATCCATCTATAAATGGAAGATTTGGGGGTAGCCTTAATTTAGGAAACCACCATATTATAGAATATTAGGGAACAAGTTGAATGTATTATAGAATAAGCTAAACAAATACAACAAACGATGATATTATTTGGGGCGATAAAAACAAGTTCCATGTATATAATTGAAAATAGACTTACATGTAAGTATACGTACATAAAACTGGTGCTGTAATGTAGTATCATTTGCGTTGTAATCGGCAGAAATGAAGAGGTGATAATTCCAGCGTTGAAAAAAGAAGTCTGAAATGGGGTGCTAGTGGGGTTGTTAAGGGGCTGTATTGGCAGTTACACTACGTTAATGTTTTTTTTGTGCAATGGATAAGAATAAGGTACTATGTATGTGGCAACATATTTTGCACCTTGCTAATGAAACATGGGGTTAAGATGGGTCATGACGATGCACCTGTGTACAGAGGGGTTCTCAATTTGTTGCAATAGTTGCATTCTACTATTTGCTAGTGTAAGATTGTCATATATGCTGAATGGCACTGGGCTGAATACGCTTTCGACAAATACCTAAAATGACGGTAAGCATTCTCTGTGATCACGGCCCCATGCTCCCAGTCAACTCCTAGACGGACAGCCAGTCAAATATGCAGTAAAACAATATATATATATATGTGTGTGTACTATAAATACACACACACACATATATATATATATAGATATATGTACGCAAATCATTACTATGATCTCATATATACTTGATACGTGCCCATCAAGAATGGCAAAAACGGGAAACCTTCGGCTAGCGAGGCCAGTGGATAGTTCAACTCTACCAGCAGGGTATCCCCAACCACGAAACACCGGTAGCTTCGGGAAAAAATGGAGCAGTGAACATACCAATCATTGAACTGAAAAAATATTGAAATCACTTATGACATACTAATCTTAGAGCTGAATTTCTTATTTGGGCATGGGTCAACACCTATTATTACCATATTTGGGGGAATAACCATCCGGCTATCCCATGGTTTTTTAAAGATACCATCCGAGTGCCGTGAGGCACCTCCAGTGTGGAACAGCTCCGACAGGCCCCTGGGATGGTAGTGTGGAACCAAAACATCGGATTCGAATCAACAAAAAGGGATATGACCAAGAAAAATGTGGACTTACCAACATATCATGCTTCTTGATTCTTCTTGTAATAAAATTGGTGCAACCAATGAAAACAGGGATTTGAAAATGGTGACGCAGCCTACAACCTCCTTGTTTGGTAGTGGTGAGCCACTGGAATGTCAATCATTCTGTTCCCAACCGGGGGGCCATTGAAAATGGATATGCCATGTCCCATCATATACAGGGTAGCTGGGGCAATCCCTCCGGCCAGTTGACATAGCTATGAAAGCCACGGCCCTTGAATCGATGATCTACCGATCAAAAAATGGTGATTATCCATGAATCCATGGCAATGGTAAATCACCAGATACTATCTCTCCCACAAGTTATCTCCTTCACGATTTGGGTTTGTCTGAAAACCTAGGGGAGCCCTCCCAAAAACCCAACTGATTAGCCATCATGTTCCCTATTAAAATCCAAATTGTTGGCAGAGAAAAGTCCAGAATCCCTGGCAACAGTGCCAAGGCACGACCCCTAATCCCCTGGCAGCCACAGGCCACCTGCAGAGTTTGGGATGTCGCTTTTGAGTCAAAAGTGGTCAAATGGATTGAGGATATTGGCTTCCGGGGTCCCATGTTGGATTTTAAACAGTGAAGCAGCTATGACAAACATAAAACTCACTCGGGGTCATCATTACTAGTTCCCAATAACTAGCTAGTGATGTTGGTTTGATTATAACTCTAACAAGCATGCCATCCCCGGTAAACCAACCGTTGTAAATAGTTTCCATTGAAAACACCCAGGAACCAGGTCCCCATGAACAATATTAACCCAAGAGGGTGCTTCTTGAAATTGGAATGCTCCAAAATCATTGGTGTCCCTATTAACAAAAAACACCTCTAATTAGCAACCATCAACAACCGGAGAAGAACTGGGCGTCAAACAAGAGAGCATCCCACACCATCAATTCGATCAAAAGCGGATCCTGCGACTTTGGAGCGACACATTCGCGGTAAGCCACTTTCAAAGTCGTAGGTCAGTCAAAAAACATACTATGGTTTATGGTACCTATAACTAGCCTATAACTATAGTATTCATGTTTTTTTTCTCAACCATCAAACATCACTGGGGTTTATCCCCACATTGTACCGATACCTCCTTTAAAACCCTTGGAATGTCATCAGTTTTCCCCAGCTGGTGACCTGAGACAACCCACCTGCTACCCAGCCACACCTCCACTTTCGCCTCGCCTGGTGAGACCTGGCCACAACTGCTACGGCGGGCCAAGGGGTGGTTTTCCGAGACCATTTCTTTAAAACTAATATCAACTAATCTTAAATCAACTTTCAAGGAGACTTTAAAGCAACCAACCAATTATTAACTAATCTATACTAATCTTAAGTTCATGAAAAAAATCTAGTTGGTTAAGTTCTATCAACTACAACTGATCTTGACTTCTCTATCTTTTGCCCGCCTGCACCGTGGTGTTGGAGACGCCCAGCACCTCACTGATGCCGACAGCAAAGCCATCACCTGGGCATAGCTGGGTTACGATCTGAGGAGGTTTCCTAAGTCATAAAGGTACCATGGGTTTACATGGGATTTGGATGGAACTCTCATGTTTTAAGGTCAATGGTCATTTTTGGAGGTTTCTGAAGTCACTTGGAGGTACCCCAAATCATCCAAGTCATAGAGGTTTTCCAAGGGAAAATCCACCAAACATAGGGGAATCATGGGGAATCCATATAGTGAATATATATTGCCTGACATGGGGTGCCCCCAAAACATCCAAGTCATTAACCCATGACTTAGTATTGAAACGTGTGGTGACTTATCCCCATTTTAGGACACCTCTATACAAGATTACAAGACTAAGTTGATTATCTATACCCTCTGCCAATTGACCAGCAGTGCCCGGCCGCAACGGTGCGGAAGTTTCGGAAAAAGAGGGGGTGAATGTAAAAAATCAATGGCCTTTAGGAAAGTCTGTGGCCTGCACACTGCATCGCACGAGTTCTTTTCGCGACATGCATGAATGAATGAATGAATGAATGAATGAATGAATGAATAGACGGACGGACGGACGGATGCATGGATGGATGGATGAATGGATGAATGGATGAATGGAAATGGATGACAATGGATGACAATGGATGACAATGAAATGACATGACATGAAGTGAAAGCAGCCGTGAAGACACCATTCTGGCCCGTGCGCAAATTCATCATTGTTGAGCATTTTTGAATAAAAGCGAGCTCTCGTTAGGGTCTTGTGCGCTTTTCCGACACCGTTTTCATTCCCAGACCTGCGACTACGGAAAGACAGACTCCCTTGGTGATTCCTGGGGCCACCTTACATGTAAAAACACAGTGATTTGCGCACAATCCATCCCTTCACTTGCTCCCTGACTCTTACTCTGATCTACTGTTTCTACTGCATGCTGCATCAACTTCACAACCGCTGTTGCTATCTGTTGCTGCCTGTGTGGTTGACGTGATGATGTGAAGACTCTTCATGAACATTTGTCCATAACTGTTCATGAACATTTGTCCATAACTGGGAAGTTTACTTTGTAACTCAACTTCCCTCTAACACAACTAATGGAAAACCATAATTCTTAAATGGTAAATCATCTATGAATGGGCTGTTCTCCATGATTCAAATCATCCATATGTGCTATGGTCAAGTTATATACATGGTGATGAGTTGATTTAACCAACAGGATCGGGATGTGTAAATGCAACGGATACATGACCAACAATCTATACTCCTCAGGAAACAACAAAAATCAGAAAGGGATATTTTATGGGATAATCGAGATAATTGGGGTTCTTACTATCATTGGGTTGTAATCAGGCTGATAGGCAGTTATAACAACATGATTTAGCAACTGGATATGTATGTGCAATGGTCAGGTTGCATGGGATTAATGGGTCGTGGTGATCCCACCATCATGAAACTTTGTTCAAACCAAGAATGCAAACCAGAATCAACGCCCATTCTTTCAGCTGGATTTTCAACCAAAATGATGATTTGAACTGAAATCAGGCATGGGCTTTACCGAGTTTACATACCACATACCGTAATCCCCGCTTCTCCGACCATTTCACAATGCGATTTGACAACTCCCCAGCGCTTGATCCAAATTTTGTGCACCATGGTCTTGGCTTGGTCTCGGATCCGCTTTTTGGTCTGGCTGAATTATGAAATATGACTTTTGGCTACTTTTGGCCCAAACGGAACAAGCGCTTTTTGGATATAATTGTGCTCGAACATGCGATTTCGCAGTGAAGTCCTTCGAGTTCAGCCAATGAAGAATTACAAGAAAACAAAGCACCAAACAATCCTGCCACTGGAACTACCCGCCCACCTAGCATCTTTTGATCCTTGGGTTTGTTCAAATTGAAACCTGCGGTCAACGTCTCCCATGCCCAAAAACCACGTTTTGAGAGATGGATAATTGGATGTGGGTATGTGTTGCAATAGGGCATCCCAAAATCGGATGGCTTTACATGGTTTCAAACCCCCGAAAGATAGGGATGATCAATTTTTACAATAAAAAACACGAGTAACATGTTTTACTCCTAAATGAACGGTTGAACTGTGATTCTAGCTTGAAACATTGTCAAGTCTGGACATGAAGTGCCAGGATTTCAGGCAAGGCTATTCTTCCACATCCACATGGAACTCGAGTGGTCACCAGTTGAATGAGGTAAGCCGGTCCATCTGTCCAATGATTTTCACTCAAGCTCTCTCTAGCTCCCAATTCATGAAAATCACCACTGGCAAGCAATTAATTTCTTTCTAGAGCCTTGGCCTATCATCCCAGGTATGGATGGACATGGAAAAACATGGTTTGGCAAAGCAACACGTTGGGTCCCCAACATCTTCAACACCAGCCAAGCATTTTCACACCTCCTGGAGTGCTGAAAGCAAAGCCAAATCCCAGCCATCTTTGGACCGGGGGTTCGCCTCAAGTAGCCCCCACCGGGGACTGGAGATCTACCCTACCCTCTGGTAATCAAACATGGCTAGCTCAAAAAACACCCATCAATTGTGTGAAAATCGTCTATGAAAGGTGGATTTTCCGGCAATGCACTGTTTGCCTACCACACACACACACATATATATATATATGTATATATATATATATATGTATATATATATATATATGTATAAGCTATTCTGCGCCAATATCTTTCCGGCATCTAAACTAACACCAGTCATATTACAGCCATGGGACGACGTCGCCACCAAGTGACATGTCTCTCCACAATTCTCCGACATCCACGGTTCCTTGGTGCGAAAGATTCGGCAAGCCGTGAATGGATTGGTTGAAGGAAACATTTACGAGTGAACACCATTGCAAACACACAGCTTACTTGCACAACATCCACAATCTTTGATTGTTTCTGTCACAAACATTTCCATCTATCTATATTTCTGAACACTTTTTTCAACCGTAAACACCATTGCTTTTTAACCACGAAATGCAGGTTAATATAGTCTCCAACTCTTTCAACTTCCAGAAAAATATCAAGCAATGTTTGTATTTTTTTTGGGGGAACTATCATGCAATATCCAAAATCACCAGGACATTTTTGGGGCAATGGTAACAAAAGGGGCTGCCAAGTCGCCAAGGGCCCACTCTTGCAGTGTCGCATCAGTTGCTGACAAATGCCCACCTGCTAGGTGCGTCCACCATGGGAATGTCCGAATTTGGCATTGGAGAAACTGAGACGGTTACAACATTTCATGATATTTCATGACTCAAGTCTACTTACCATAGATTTTCATGAGTCATTAGGTTGTTTGACACAAATTGGAGTTTGCCACAAGATTATTTGGGCTTCCTTGTCGTGATCTTGACTGCTTCGCAGTTGAGAAACCTATTTCCCCATTCCAAAAACATAACTCAGTTGAGATCATCAATCATCAGCCTTTTTTTTGGGGGGAATGGCAGCTGTGGCTGATCGCTCCCGTCCTTGATGTCATAGGGCGGTGCTCCACAACCGTAAATCTCCTGGTCAAACATGCACCCTTTGGCGCAAAGGTGGCAGCAACAGGACTTCCTCCGGTGACATGTCCCAGTTTGACATGCCACGATTGGGAATCATGCTTCGGTTTCAACATGCTTGCTGGTCTTATTCCCCATTTTCGCGAGATTCATTGCGTAGGAGAATGAAGAGCCAACGCAACTGCTGTCCCCATCCCCTATTGTGCTGTTCATTTCCTAAGAGCATTGTGAACTGCTGTTCTTCACAAGTTAATATACTGGCTTCATCCCCATCCTTGATTGTCCTATCCGAATTCCTGGTGGGCCTGTTCACTAACAAAAGAAAAAAGTGCACCTCGGGTCCCCTTTTTTGGGAGGTCATTCCCACCTAAAACGAGTGAGAATGCATTGTCGATGGGGTATCTCTCTCTCTCTCTCCCATTTTCGGTGGGTTCATTCCCGCCCTGGCTGTGCATCCTGAAGTTTCAGCACGTCCAGTGCCGAAAGACCTCTGCGCTGTCCTAACGGCGAGAGCAAGGAGGTATGATGTTTTGTTTTAAAACAATTTGTCCAAACATGGGGTATACCACATAATGCAATCCTAAGTGGAAAAAATGGCGACAATCCAATATAAAGGGAGTGGCTAGGCACATGAAAGCCCAAAAAAATGGTACTTCTCACAGGGATCTGACTGAACAATTGGATAAGCTTCACAGATCTTCACAGTGATCAACCCGCCCGGCCCAGGGATGCCCACGGTATCCCATGTGTCCTATCTGGGGGTCATGGACGCCCACTTTGTTGCTGACCGGCAGAGATGTGGCTGGTCCGTGCATCACAGAACCTCGGCAGTGAAGGTGAAAAACCTGCTGTTGGATGCTGTTGGATCATTGTCATGATCGATGATGATGATTAATATGTTTGGTATTATGAATATCATTGGCATTGTTTTTGCCACAATTACTATCATTATTGTTATTTCATGTTATTTCTATGTTCAAACAATGAAACAAAACTATGCAACCGTTACTGCTAGGACCACATCTTAGCTTCATTCTGCGTCCAACATTTGAGGCCATGGAAGCCACCAATCAGGAAGCGAATCCAGATAGATCAGTATATCGATATCTGAAAAGAAAAACAGTACGTAGAAGTATATCTGATTATAAATGCGTGAAATGCGGAAAATGCGCAAAAAACACCCTTAATTTGGGTTAACCCCAACCATAATGTAGAGGAAATTCCAAGGGGGACATAAAAACATCATTGGAAAAACATCTACTTCCTCCCAGAGTTTGCCACTTTGCTTGCAAGGCGCTGAAGTCGTAGAAAAGCGGCCCGTCGCCGCTGATGGGTGACGATGGCTCCTCCACAAAAGTGCTGCGGTCCTGGGTTGCGATGTCCTATATCTCGAAACAGCGAGGCTTTCTGATGTGTTTATTGGGATGCAGCACCCAACATGGGGATTCAACTAACCAGGTTAAAAGGAAATGGTGATATAGACTTGGATTGGATTACCAATGACAAGAAGGGAAATTAAGCAGGACAAAGTGCCAGTGCAACTGACATGAGACAAGACTAAAGATGTTTTCCGCTAAAAAAATATGGGGTAGGAAATCAAGCAGCGGACTTGGGGGGCGCAATGCTAAAGAGATACTCATGCCAATTCAACATGCAACCACACTGTTCAAAATAGCTGCTAGCAAATCAGTCTCCTCTGGTAATCGAACATGGCAATGGAAAATCCATGAACCTCCTATATATATATATGTATATATAAATGCGGTTTTCATGGCAACATCATCTATAAATGGATGATTTTCCAGCATGTTTGATCCTATTAGGGGGTAACATACGCTGGATGAAAGCTGCCCCCAAAGATTCAAGGGTCACTGCGCTGCTCTTCGTTGATCAAACCCAAGGCGTGCCTCGGGTCCATCCCTATGGGGTTAGCGGTTCATCATCGTACCAACTGGGCGAAAGCTAGGGTGAATTCACTATCCATGGCGGAGCCATATCTACAAGGAAGCCAGAAAATTGCAACACATAGCCTGGAACAGTCGACACCAAGTCTATTCGATCAAGCTGAGGCCACAGAAAGCTCAGATTTCTCTTGCAAAAAAGGATGGAAACCACTGGGGGATCACCCCAGAGAAGTTACAGCCTGGCGACCCCAGCTCATGAAGAATGGCACCCAAGTGGAAGGAAGTGCAACACCAGCCCAAGTGCAGATCGACTCCTGGCTCTGGCGTAAGTGAAGTGCCACTGGTTTCGTTGAGCCAAAGACCAACGAACTCAGAAACGGCTTCAGAATGCTGATGTTTTTGTATCTTAGATATTAGATATTTTGGTTCAAGGTGCTTTAATGATGGTTGGACTTGAATCCAGCACCAGCCCTTGCCTTGAGACCAACCCACTTGGGAAGCTTCACATAGATGGCCAATGCCATGGACCCGGAGTTTGCTCTCAGTTCCTTGGGGAGTGCCGTGCGTTAGGGCCGTAAGATCCTCACCATGTGGCTGGGCTCAAACATCTCAAACTTGCCCAAGTTTCATGCACGGAACAAAACAACCATGACCAAACAAAATACCAAACGTGTTGGACCTGAAAATTTGACGCCAAGGGGCCGTTTGTCTCATGGAAGCTAATGCAGGTGCTCCTGACGACGCCATTAGTAGTTTCAGTCCGGGACCCAGAAATATTGGATGATCATTGTGCTTATGATCCCGAGTTCGGAAAAAGTGTGTACCTATTGTATGGAAAGTAAATTGGTATAGCATATAGGTATATATATACAGGTATTGCAAGCCAACTACTGGCCATCAACTGCATTGTACATTGAACCTATTCATTCATTCGGCACAAAACGCACAGAACATCTCTATTTCCGTGGGGGGGGAATCAAATGTGTTCCAAGGTTAAAAGAACCGTTAAAAACACCTGATAAAAGGACGGCTCTTTACACACCGTTGCTGAAACATTCAGAGAAATGCCATGTTCTTTCCAAGGCATTCTGGCAGAACTTCCACAAAATACTTGAAACACGGCTCTCTTTCTATGGCTTCTGAACCCTGGTGTGTTTCAGACTGAAAACAATCACAATCCCGAGGAAATGATTAAGCAGCTGGAGTGAGGAATGCAAAGCTTTGTGCAAAAAGGAGATTAAGCACATCCAAACCTCCAGAACTTCCACAAACAATCAAGCATCAAACAGCTTTCAAAAGGAGTCCAAAGAATCCAAAAATAATATTCAAAGCTTGATCCCAGGGGATTCATGGATGTTCATCCCCACTCTATGGTATTCCATAGGTAACTTCATCCATCCCCATCCTACATGAGACTACCATCACTTTACCAGCTGGCGCCATGCCCATCTCCTTGCGACTTCATCCAAGGCCTCTCGGAAAGCGTCCTTGGTCTCCTGCGCAACTGGCTCCACAAAGAAGAAGGGGATCACCTGACGTCGAGCAGTGGAAGTTGTCAACCGGTCAAACCATGTGTTTGTCCATCAGGAGAATTCTTGAGGTTCACCCATCAGGAAAGTGATGAAGGTTTAAACGGTGGAACCTGAACTTTTATTGCAAATGAAAACTTGTGGGGTCAACATGAATAACTCAGAGAAAATACACAGACAGCGGGCATGCAACCAACAACTGCAATATATTGCAATATCATCAAGTAGGTTCATAACACAAAATTTGGGTTACTTGGACGGGAATCTAAACATGCTCTAGTCATGTCTCTTTTGGATATATTAAGCAGCACATGCTATGTGTTTAAGTTCGTGGGTGCCCCCGCCTTCTCCTTCATCGAGCCAATTGGTTGACCTGTGGCTGGAAAATCCCACAGAACTGTGTATTTGTTTTGGAGAAACAGATATGTGAATGAGGGGGGGGGTCTCTATTTCCATGTTTGATTGCCATAAATCCACTGGTGCAGTTGAGTTTTTGGCTGATAAAACATGATAAAACTATTTTTGTTGCTGGATTCTTGTCGTCACCGTTGTCACCCTCCTTTAATCTCTAATTTGATTAAAGTAACTCTTCAACAGTTTCCATTCTACTTCCATCCCTGTATTCATACCGTCATTGCATCTCCTTTCATGTGATTTCACTTCATTTGCTTGTTCATTGATAAAATGTAAAAGATTACCCCAACCACACCAACACTTGAAGAAAATCTCCACGGAACAAGCTGCATAAATCTGTGTGCCTCTGTCGTCTAGTGTGGTTTGAAGCTTCGTGCTAGAAACATTAAAAATGTGTGGAACAAAACCACATTTGTTGTTCAAGTGAGATACATCCAGGTGAAACAAGCGAGTCAACCAGGTGCTTGTGCCATGAGCGCAAACAGCCTATGCGGCTTCACCGTTTCACCCCCCACCTGGGACGGGCTTTGGCGGCTCGATTAGCAAGCCCCTCCCGCGGTGAACGATGAGGGGAGTTGGATTTCTACCAAATTCCACTGTGGATTTACCAAGACAGCTAAGAAAGATGGTGATGCAACCGGCAATACTGGGGATGCAACGTCTGCTTCACCAGTACAACCATCCTACTGGGAAAAGACAACCCAACAAACAAACACAAAGTAAACAAATGCACCACTGAACCCAAGTTTCTTCCAGGGGACGATTGTGCACGGCAGAAGGGCAGCAATTCTGAGCTGTACCAGTGATGATGATCATTGACGATAATGATAACGATGAGGAGGAGGAGGAGGATCATGATGATGATGATGATGATGATGATGATTTTCCTGATATGGTGGTGGTGGTGGCGGCGGTGGTGGTGGTGGGATGATGACGATGCTGATATCGTGGTGGTGGTGGTGGCGGTGGTGGTTGTGGTGATGATGGTGATGCTGATGCTGATACAGATGACGTCGAGGCTCGCAATACTGAGGTGGCTCCCTTGAGTGCGGCAGCCCTTCTGATTTTCCAACGTTGATGCGTGAAATGGCATTACGTCTTGAACCAGGGGTACCCCCTGCTAATCAAACATGGCAATGTCACATCCACCATTTATGGATTATTTTGCCATCAAAACCCTTGAGGGGATTTCTGTTTGCCAAAGATAGTTGGGATGACTAACCCTAAACAAATCCTCTACCATCAGCTAGGCCAACAGCAGTTTGGTTCCTGCCATTTCCTGCCTCACAATGCCAGAGATGTACCGCAAATCCTCTTCCTGCAGGTCGTTGGAACGAAGAGCTTCAAAGATGTCCTTGGTACCCAGGGATTGTGCCAAGAATCATCCCATGAAATCGTGCCCACACTGTGTGTGAGCTGCAGGAGCTGCTTCAGCCTGTTAAGTTTTGCTTGGCAATAGGATTCTACAAATTGAAAGTCTCCAGGACATCCCCAAACTGCGAACATCAAAACTCGTAGGAATCCACTTCTTCACTTCACTCATCTCCCAACTCTCACCGTGAAAAGCTCAAAAACTAGCGCTAGCCACAAGCATTGCACTTGGGATGGTGTATGCTCATTCAATCCGTCAGTGGGGTTCCTCATATTGAATTTCTTAACTACTTGACAAACGGATGCCCAATGAGTTAAAAAAAGGACGCGTGTATTTGATACAAGCGGGGAAAGAATTATCTTGGGAATGAGCAACAAACTTGATCAAATACTAGGTTGCTAGAATGAGATTACCAACACAAAAGATTCTGAATACATATTTCACCAACATATTACAGACATACCGCTCAAATATCATCAGCAAAATATGACGATACTATCACCACAATGCCTTCCCCGCTATAAGAACCATGTTGGAGGTAGTGCGCATGCACCCCCCTGGTAATCAAGAGACCGCATGACCATTGCCCTCCAAATCGCCAACCATATATCTTTTTCAATATGGGATTCAACAAAAATCTCACCATCATGTACACCACCATATACATTCACTGACCAACTAGACATCTATAGATGTCCAGCTGGATAGTCTGATAGATGTTTGATAGATGTCTAGTTGACAAATGATTCTACATCTATAATCATCCAATGATCATCCCATGATTATTTAGATAATAGATTTACCATGATTATTTAGATTAGAGTTGGTAATCATGGTAAATCATTGGTAAATCTATGTAAATCTTTATCATGGTAAGATAATGGTAATAACCATATTATTGGTAATCGACTAGGATTATTACCATTATCTTACCATGATAAAGATTTACCAATGATTTACCATGATCATAGATTTACCATGATTTACCATAACCATATTATTACCATATTAGTTGTAATGGTTGATAAATATTGGTAACCATATTTATCAACTATGGTAATGGTAATAACCATTCTACTTTCTTTTCATTTACCACCTAGGATCGTCCCGTTTCGCGAAGGGGCCGTACTGGGCCCGCTGAGTCGCATGGCATCGATGCGGCAGCTGGGGCTCCAGCTGACCACCTTCGTGGCACGCCTGAGCCGCGCTCGTCAATTCATCCATCCATAGATACCCTCTGGTTATGACTAACATAGCCATGGTATAGATGGCCCTAATCGAAATAGATGGTTTAGCTACTAAAAATGGTGATTTTCCATGGCTATGTTAAATAACCAGAGGGTAAATCTATGGTGAATGATCCATAATTAATAAAAAAAATACCATAGATGTGAATGATAATCATTAGGATAGATGATGGGTATTATTGAGTTAATAGTCACATTGAGAACTATTGACACTATTGACTATTAAGAATAATACTATTAAGCATAATGGAAAATGAAGACACGGATTTCACCAACAACCGTTGGGATTGACAAGACGCATCTTGTCTTGCCATCTTTTCATGCCATGTTTTCATGCATTTTGCCAAGACTCTACCATCAAAAGTATGGATTCCAACATGAACCTATGAATATCCATGGATACCCATGGGTATTCTGGAACATTTTTGACCAGCAAACGTCTGGATTTTGCATAACGCAACCATTTGATGGGAATATCCATCGGGTTCACCATCTCCACCGATGGCCACAATTACTGGAATGTCACTAGTGAGATGAATGGAGAAAATTGGCTTATAAAACACAGAGATCCGACATCCAATGGGGTTTATGGATGTTTATGGTAGATATATCATATCTATACTTAACAGGGGGGTATTGACCAATTTATAACTGCGAGACAGCACCCCGTATCCTTCATTTCAACAATAAATGCATCAAAACGCTCGATTTTCACCCTGCACCCAACGCCCTGTCAAACAACTTGTCTCCAAGAAGCCACTGCCTGACGATCTGAAAATGGGGAGGAGTGATAGCAATCCAAAATGGAGAACATGATTGTATCAAGCATCAAATTTTAGGATTTCCCCTAATTTTTCAGATAAACCCATACGCACACATGTGTTCATGTGATCATCCAAGTATTATTTCAGAAACAAAATGGCGATATTCATGACATAACGGGAGGGCTTTCCATGTTGAAGGCAGCACCCGCAGCCGGAAAGGGTTGAAGAACAGTACAGCCAGTGACCCAAAATCTCTGCAAGATTCTGGGGGGAAGTTCATGACCACTTCAATTGAGCCATGAAAAAAACCAATCAGTTCGTTACAATCTTCCAAATATTCCTATTATGAGTTACCTCATGATTCCCAGTAAGCCAGTTGGGTTGCTAACCCCCTACTTTGAAGTTCCAGTGAACTAAGTGGATAGATTTCACCATAGTTAGTTCGGGGTTACAATCGTTACATCCCAACTTATTGGGGTTTGGTTCACCATGGTTATAACTATTGATAAATATTAATAACCACAACTGCACCTCCAAGTATGAGATTCCCCTCATATACGAATTATATGCCAATGATACTCCACATCATTGACATATTGAACGGTTCAATACCATTCTTTGCTGTTTAAATCAACATCTTTGCTTTAAATATATGTCAAATACCAAGTAGTTCTCACCCCATCAGAGGAATTTTCTGGCTCAAGGTGCAAGTCCGGTCTGGCCAGCGTCGCTTTCCAAATCCTGGGTGGGGAAGCCCCAGATGATCATCAAGATTGGTAGCACCTATAAACTCAAAAGCTAGTTGGTTTACGCAGTATCCTGGGTTCATATGAAGCTCCCCACCATGTTGACACCAGGGTCATAGAACAAAACTTGAAAAGGCGGCTGTCCGGTGAAGCCAATCGGAAAACCTACCACTTGGGGATGGTTTCAATCCCCATTGATGGTCAGTCCTGGGGGATGGTTTATGGCATTGGGATGCATTGGGTCAATCACAGTGCGGGGCGCCTTGAAGATCATAAAGGTAGAACGGTCTTTCATATGTTGATTGTGATCTACTTCTTGCGACTTTTCTTGATCATACAAAATAAGGTTGTTTGGAAAATGGGGGCAAAGCTCCAAGTGACCATTCCATTAAGAATATGATCAAAAAAAAGGGACTCGGGCTGATCCACTGATGTGGAGGCAATTAAGATCCATTTACTTTTGTAGGCATACCTAATTTTTGAACAAATCCAAATAATCCCAAAATAGCAGAATACACCCAAACATCATCAAAGATCCACCATTTTCACCCAACAAATCCGGTAGCTCATAAGTCAAAATAAGTCAAACAGCAAAGATCTTGACCAGAAACCCACCATAGATGACACCCGACTTACTTTGGATGCCCACTTTACTCCCAGCATTGGGCTCCACCGAGGTTCGCATGGCTGGCCGAAGCCCCGCAGCGGCATTCTGAGCCATCCAAAATGCCAGAAAGGTCTAGGCCCTTGCTGAGACCTGAGCGAAGAGTGGATGGGGACAGGGTCAAGATCCATCTATTTATTGGCTAAGCGTGATTGTATGATGGCTATTTTGGTAGAAATTAGACAAACCCATCCATTTGGAGGTATAGTATGATGTATGTTGTACTGGCTGGTTTTCATAGAATTCAACTAGCCAACTTGGACTTATAATCTGTTACAAAGGGGAAGTTCATCCCCAGTCTCACCAGGCGGTCAGCAACCAGAAAAGCTGGACCCGCGTTCCCCGCCCTCGTTCCGCGAACTTAATGTCAGAAGGATCTGATGTCACAAGTGAACACCAAAGTTAGAGGTGCTTCTGCCGTGGTCCTCTTATTGATCACATCTGTTGTTAGTATCCTGTACTCAGTTTACTCCCTTCATTCCGGACTACCCACCACAGTGCCAGCCATGGATTGCTATCTCTAGGCGCATTCGTCACCACTGTTGATGATTGACCCAACACTTCAGACCCATTGCAGCCAGGGGCAGAATTCTGCGCAGCTCCTTCCATCACTCGTCTTCAAACGATAGAAGGGCAAACCTCCACAACTACTGCCCGTCCTGTAAGCGGAAGATGATCCCGTGGTTCTTTCAGAGATCCTCTTGGCTGAAAGAAGCAGAAAACAACCAAACACATGTATATATCTGAACTGAACTAAAACTTCTTTGGATCACTCCGGGACCTATATTTTGTTCAAGCACAGCATCATGTGTATATCAAAGGGGAACTAAATAGGGTCTTCCCTCCACTGGATCATCATCTTTGCCTCGCCACCCGTGCGCTCCTCATACAGCTGTTGTCATAGAAATCCACAGGCCCCGCAGCTGCCAGCGGCATGTCAGCAGTGAAACAACCCATATATTTGAAGACAGGTGCCTCAATGGCTGGCAACTGGGGATACTTATGTCACTTATGTCACCTCTGTCAACTAATCAAGTCATTGGGGGGGCTCAAGGAACACCAGTTTAGGATTTCAGGGCGAACCCACATATACTGAAGATACAAGATCTGGATGACACACCGAAAAGAACCTCAATGAAACCACCAAAATCATTAGGATTTATTAGGTCTCTTCAACAACAATGACTCAATGGCCCACCTAAGGTTGGTAATGCGTATCGCAAAATTGTGGAAACCGAAGTCGTGGTGGATGGAAATCATTCTGGTTGGGGCCTCTCCTCCACAAGCCATGGGGTGGAGATCTTGCCTGTGGCATCACGTCTTGAATCCTCCGGTTCTGACCGCGAAGCCGGTCAGCGCGTCAGACTTTCTCGTTACCAGGAACACCAACCCTTTTGGTATGATTGGGTATGAAGAAAACTCCGGTGGGTATGGTAAAGAAACTCAAACATTCTTCGTTGGAGATGCAGGCAGCCAGGGTACTGAACTGCTTGGTGCCGGAGGAGCACTGTCCTGAGGTACCCGCACGGGACATACAAATGTGACTGTGCACATGGGGTTGTTTGAAAATAAAATCCATTGGTTTCATCATGTGCCCATATTTTCCTTATTAAAATGGCAGGCTTTGGGTACTCATTTTCAGACAAACCCACATACCCCATATACACCCATGTGTGCAGGCGTCTTGCCAATGGGTAGAACCTCCTGTTCCGTTATGGGTATGTGTCTGAAAATGGGAATCGGAATTTTCTGGGTTAACCATGCTTTGCCATTAAGACACCATTTCAACACTATATATCCATCGATTTCCCTAACATTAAGAACCCATGGAAACCACATTTCCCCAATGAAATGACGATAAATCACCAGTTTCTCGCGCCTCCAGCAAACCGCTTGACGCGGGCTCGGCCAAATCAACCTGGGATCGGTCAACAGTTGGTCAACATTGGGCGCCAAAAAAAACGGATCAAAGTGTGTGGGCATACGTGTTTTATACATGCAGAGTATATACGGCCCACATCGACCTACTATATCTAATTATACTATTTAAATCTATTTATAAAATGTCTAGGCATACTTTTATCAATCTTTTATCAGTCTAGAGTCTAGAATCGATCTGCACATTGTGAGCATGTGTATCTGCAAACATGGGTTATGTATCTATCTATCCATCTATCTGTCCACCCATCTGTCTACCTTTTTTGCATGTATTTTAAATACATGATTCTGATAGCATCGCCACCTATCTATGCCAAGCGTCGTAGATCATGAAGCCAGAACTGGCAAGTGCTGCCAGACAAACGCAGGCCACAAGGACTGTCTTGTGCCGCCAGCACCAGCTGTGGGGCAGAAAGTCCTGCACGTTTGCCTCGTCATATGGCGATCTGGGTGCACCTTCCTGGAACCCCTTGGGTTGTCCCACCAAAAGTAGCTGGGATATGCTGGGATCATCATTTCTAATCATTTCTATGTATACTGTATATACGTACATGTTCAACTACCCAAACATGGCAGAATAGGTTTGATCCATCCATATATGGAAACATCAGAGTCCCCTGGTGCGCCTCCTCGTGCTGGTGGAGCCAATCTCCCAATTCACGTTGCGAGATGTGTGTGTGCCTGCAGTTCTTGGCATGTGGGAGACGGGAAATGGATGAGAAATGATTGGGAAAAGTCTAGAGTGGCTATATTTTGCTTCACTTTGAACTGGAAATGCCGCCGATGCACTTCAGATTTTCTTCGGGTTCCAGAAATCTGTAGATATCACCACAAGAATTGGAAGGGGACCGCCAATGATGTTGTTCCTCCTTTAAAAAAAATGATGATTGATAGAAGGCGTACTCCCTGATTTTCAGCAATAGGCCGTGGTGTTCTCTGCATGCAGAACTCTCTACCGTTCCCATGAGGCTGGCACTGCCTTTCGAATCGCTTGACGGGATATGGCAACTTGGAAAAAATACAGGCACTGGTTTGGCATACCATTTGCCACAATATCCCCGATGGATGGAACTCTTAGGGTCTACAGCCCCCATTCCAGCCAATATGCTGGCTGAAAGGGTAGGTACCAAGACTGAAAGCCATGGGCTGGAAACATGACCCCAAGCCCAAAAATATAGCCAAAGTAGGAAAAGTACTTGTATGTTCCCGTGGCTGAAAACTAGGGGAGTGAGGTTACCTGGCATCTTACAACTTACATGTTTCAAGTGGCTGAAATCATAGGCACCTGAAATGCAGGCCAACACACGCACATCCTGTTGAATCTTTCACATGCTGTTGAACCTCCCCGGAACACCAATTTTTTACGATGATAAAATCCTTGGGACTACGGTAAGTCTTTTCTCGGTATTCTTGATCTCATCATCATCATTACATTACATTAATTGATGGATAAAATCCTTGGGACTACGGTAAGTCTTATCTCGGCATCCTTAGGTCTGATCAAAATTCCCATCATAAAATATCATCATGAAAACCAGTCCTAACATGTTGCATGTGAGATGTCGAAAAAGTGCACGCCGTTGTGGCGCGAAGCACATTTGCAAGTCAAAATGCACAAAACACACCAGGTGGGGACCACTTTTGGGAGTTGAGATGTCGAAAAAGTGTACGCCGTTGTGGCGCGAAGCACATTTCCAGGATTTCAACTCAACAAGTCCATTGTGAAACGATTTGTCTTGTTGATGGTTTGTCTCAACAAGGTCATTGTAAAACAATTATTTTCTCCCACGCTGACTTTTCAGGAATCCAATGACCTGACCACTGCAAAGTCTCAAACCCTAGGCCCTAGGATTTATTGCGCAATGGCTGGAAACTTGGGATTCACCTCTTGGTTGATGTGTCTGTTTTCCCAATGTTGTTGGATGAAAACTATGGATCTGAGGTCAGCATAGAAATATATGGAATCGAGTAGAGCTGTGGCTGAAAACTGTGGAACCCAAGTAACATGAACAGATGCTCAACTGCATCCTGAAACTCTATTTCTCAGAAATGATGCTATCTGGGGCTTGGCTGAAAAGCATGGGTACAAGTGTCAGGTAACAGTTGCAGCTAGCTAAATTTTTGCGGTAGAGCTCCCCCCTTTTCAGCCAGGACCACCAGACGGGGATCCACAATGTATAATCATGTATAATCATGTATCATGTGGTAATGCCATAAAACACCCCCAAGTGGAAACTGGGGTTTGTGAAAATGGGTATGCCCAAGAAAAAAAGGATGATTTACAGCAAAGTGAAGCCCATATGGTTGGTTAATATTGGTGAATGCTATGGTTTATACTTGGGTGTACCACATTACCATCATTGATATTGGTTGACTCTTCAGTCAGCCTTTTACCAAAATCATCCAAGCAGGAGGTCGCGCCAATAGGCCAATGGGAATTTATCGGAAATTCATGCAGTTTTCGACACTCACAAAATTTTTCGACCGGTACAAATGATCATGGGGAAAAAACAAATATATATGGATATATGTCATCTATTTATATACATATCATTTATACATGGTCCATCCAAACAGTGGGGAAAGAGGTCCTCTGCCTTGTTCAGGGCTCAGCCAAGAAGCTCAGTATGCTCCGACTGGGCGTCTCCAAGTTCAGTATCTTTCGGGGCCTTTGGGGTATGGGATCCACTTGGGATGTCAATACGGGGCATGACCTTTCATGAGAAATCACCACACAGCATTTTTGTGGATTCCACGAATCGTGAAGAAATTAAATATGAACAAAAAGAATAAACAAGAATAAAACCAGTAGCATAAATGCACATAATACATAATAGATTAATAGTAGTAAACGATGATGACTATTTGTGGGAGCCTCTACGAATATCTAGTAATCAAATCTAAACTGGGTGTGTATTAATCCAGAATTGGCAGTAGCGAATTGCTCAGAAATGGCCAAACATCAAGGGCCACATGGACATCTTTGGCGCCTCGTCATCGATGAGCAGGCCCACCTCGGTCTCAATCTCCCCATCTGCAGGACTGGACCTGCAGCTTTTTCCGCTTGGACGACTTGAGGATGCAGCCCTCAACAAGAATCCCATCCCCCTATCAAACACACCCCAAATAGATCTCAATAGGTTTTCCAAATTTTTCCAATATTTTCAATCCCCCGATATCCACCATGGTTTCTTGGGTTGTGTTTAACAGGGGGGATGGGATTCTCCAATCTCCAACCATCACCGCAAGGCGCACGAGACGCGTCTCCACCAGACGAAGAAAGCGATGGAGAGCGCAACAGTCAAAATGCCCAAGGCTGAAAGCACTGCTGCGACGTACGTCAGCGACCTGATCTTCAACGTTGAACCCGGGCTAGAGGCGAACTGTATTTTCTGAAGGAACTTGAAAAACATCAAACGAGGCAGGTTGGATTATATAGAAAAATAAAGAAACTAAACAAATAGATATATATATATATATACAAATTGGTCATATATATATATATATAATTAAAACAATACTAATAATAATAACAATAATAGTAATTATTATTATCATTATTATCATCAATATTATTATTGTTATTATTATTGGTTATAGTTATTATTAACATTATTATGATTATGGTTATTGTTATTTTTATTTTTATATATATATATATGAATAGATAGTCACTGCTTGCACTCAATTATTTGCGCCTGACTTAAACTTGGACTTTGCCCCATGTTTGGTGGCACCTAAATGTTCCCTCATGGCCCCATGCCACCACAGCCCACCTGTGTTGGGTGGAATAAGCAACGAGATTTTCCCACGCGAAGGGCACATCCACCGTTTTGCTCCGCACCAGCACACGGAAAGCCCCTGGAGATGCCGAAAGCTGGCTGGTGGCTGGTGGCTGGTGGCTGGTGGCCAACCCTAAACATCAATTATGGTCGCTGGGTATCATCGAACCATTTCTATGGTTGAAAAATATTGAAAACAGCAAATATTGGAAACCACCACCAACTGGACCAACATCAAGCCACAGCTCGCCTGAGAAAGTACCAAGCTCTTTGGGGGTCAGAAGGACCCACTTCTTGCGCAGCTCGGTGCATTTTTGGACACACTCCTGAAGCGCTGGCGCCGTGCGGCTGAAGTGACACCCTTTGCCAGCATCGCATCTCAGGCTCATGATGTTCAGCAAATCTTAAGCTTGATCGATTCTTGTTTCACTAGCAGAGCATGGGACAGATGCGACTGCCTCGACAAAACTCTATGTTTTACGGTTTGGTTGCTGTCCCTTCCACATGCAGCAGTTTGCACCAGACATCCAGGCCATCATCAAGATCTGTCCTGGCAACAGAGCTGTTCCACGCGGGCCTGAGGGCAGAGAGGTCGGAGAATGAGAAGTGAAGAATGCAACACCTCTGTACCCTAGTGTTTCATGGCTTTTGCAAGACAACCTGGTCGCATTTCAGAATCATTCCAAAATGCAGCTGTATCCTGTGTTCAAGTTTCATGCCAAGACTCCCAATATTGGACAAAGGTTGGGTAGGAGGACCATCTGGGGGATGAACATCCAGAAGCACCAGCAGTTTTGGTCTGTTCACAACATGGACTTCCAGCTGGTGTTGCAATCACATAGCGGCCACTTCAGCTATTTTATGATTTTGAGATGATTGTACCACCATTTTCGCTGAGTAAATCTTCATTTTATGATATTATTGTAGGTTTTAAGATCTTCATTCCGATGGATAGATAAACAGAAATACAAATAAGAAACCTACAGCCTACAGTATCATTCTAGATAAATCCCATAGAAGAACTCCTCAGCCGTAGCAAATACAAATCTATGAATCATTCATGTACCCTGTGGTTATCAAACATGGCAATGGAAACTCCACATTTACTTAGATTTGCTTACAGGTCTCCCCCAAAAAGGACATTTTCCTTCAACAAACCCAGGCTTTAGCGATCAGCAAATTACCTCCATCCTTTTTCACTTCGGTCGGTGATTTCCATCATGCTTTGACTACTGGACCAGATCAACAAACCACCACACACCCCAAGGGTCCTCCCCACGCTGGCAGCCCTGCAAACAGCTGGGCGCTTTCAACAGCGTCACTGTGACGCCGGCGCCTAAGAGGCGGCTGAAACCTGAGGCGTGGTAAGCTGAGGGGTTGGGGTTGCAATTAATATCACCCGGCCGGGGAAATTATTAGAGATGTGGGATTAGAGATGTGGGATATAGCTGGGGTTATATTTCAATGTTACCCTAGGGTAAGCATACAAAAACCTCTGGAAAAGCCATGGTTTCCTGCATGGAAAATGATCTACAAACGCTGGGTCTAACGCTGGGTCTTCCACATCATCTGGGGCTATAGTCTCAGCTATTGATGTATGTGGTCTCAGCTATGCAACGAATCAATAATTTTGTTGTTGATATACCTGGGTTTAATGGGGCTGTATACGCATATTAACATGCAACTTGTTAGCTTAACTTGGGTTATAATTAATGATTGGAAGGATATCAAAATCTCAATTAGTGGAGTAGCGAGCGCGAACTGGATAGTAACTTGGATTGCAACAATAGATGGGATAGCAGCCAGAATAATGGACTTGATAAGCCAGTTTCTGAGCTGAATTGAAAGACCAAACATGTTTAAGAGCTGACACGTACCTTCAACCTTTCAACTTTCAACCCTTGAACCATTTCGCGACAATAATTCGATTTTATCCCCTTTGCACTGGTTGTTCCAGCTTCTCACCCATGATTCACCCCACGACAACATGTTCCATCATATGTATTACCATAATGTGGAAAAAACCCAATGCCATACACCTACCATTTAGATCCAGCATCCACATCGCCGAGCAGCGCAGTTGCAGCCGCTGCTGCAAGAGTCGCTCCGACTCATAACGCGGGCAGTCGAAGGTGATATCCATGGCCACTGAGGGGCCCTTCACTACCGGACCTGCCACCGCCTGGCAGCTCCCAAACGGCCACAGGAAACCGTGGTTTAGCACTGAAATTATTTATTTTGGAGGTTAAATATGGGGCAATATTCGGAGGAATGGATTGATGTTTAATTATTGAAGCTGCCCATGGCTTTCCCATAGATTTTTTCGTCTTAAAGAGATAATGGGACAAAATTCAAGGCCATCCGCATATGCCAAAGATGGAACAGAAATTTCGTCCAGCCAGGCTCCACACTTTCAAACTCTGCCTCCTCCTCCTCTTCCGAGACGTATTGGCAAGTGTTGTTGCATGACTGACACGGGAACAAACAGGGAGCTGGACCCATTGGTTGAAACGCCACAAGAATCCATGGCTGGAATTTAGATGAATTTGGCTAATATGTGAAAATAGATAGAAATGGAATATCCGTGAACGTCTCTTATTTACAGAAGTTTTTTCCAACTTGAATGCTAATTTAACTCGGGGATTTCCCAGCCACCTTTCATTTACTTCATCAGGCTGATCATGGCACGAGGCTGACACCATTCAGGCAAACCTCCGATTCCAGTGGGTTGGTCAATGGGACCCGATTCATAGCAGTTATATGCAGTTCTTATATAGGGAAACAGACGGAACATGAAGTTTTCAACATTTTTGGGGCCTTAAAACTTTTCAGATCCCATTTTTCTGGGGGGACCCTCTTTTCAATCGCAGATGGGGTCACCTTTCCGTCAGAATTCTCTGGACCTGAAGGCAGCAACGCTTCTGGCAGTTCATGGACATGTACTGTTCCAGGCCACTCACTTTGCCAGGGCAATAGTCCTCCTTAGGTGCCATAAAAACACATCGTGACTGCTGAAATCTGCATCTGATAGTCCAAAACTGCAATGGAAAGTATCTACTGGAGATTACTGGAGAATAGTTATCCTCGATCGTTCTTGGGTAGCCATAGTGGCGTGACAACAGTGGCCATGTTTTGTGGTTTCAGGGGGCCTGCTTGCTTCAGTGGGTGAACGTCACACAAAGGGTATGATGAACGCGCTGGCCAAGACTTTCCAACCGCCTGATTTCGTGAATGATTTGCACACCGCATGTTTGGCGTTTGCAGTCGGTTGCCCCAATTCAATGGTTCGAATTTCAAAATGTTTCTCCCCAAAACTGGGGCCCCCAAAAACTACTGGTTTTCTCGTTCGGGGCCACCAATTTCCATCATCTTGGCTTTCTTTTGTTGAAACTCAGTAGCCGAAGCTTTGTAAGAGTCGGAAGCTGCATTTGACTTGTTGTGAGTGAATTGCAGGCACAATTTTCAGATGATTTCAGTTCATCTACCTTCAGAAGCAGACTTGTCCAAAGTTCATCCCCCGAGCTAGCATGATGCATATCCAAATCTCGCTCCAAGTATAGTGGCACAATATCGGCTACAATTTCTGATAATTCACCAGCCTGAACTAACTAAGACCATTTGGGGATGATTTTCCCTCATTTATCATCAGTGACATAGGAGTGAGGTCGTGGTATATAATTCATCTACTTGATGTGGTTTCAAATCAAAACGCAACTGACTGCTGTCAGACATCCAAGAACTGGCAGACCGTCTCGTCCACATCGGCGCAGGCAGCCCTTTCAACGCGCTCCTTGTGCCCTGCGTGCAGCTAGGGACCACCTCTAAAAATTGTCTGGGAAATATCGCCCAACCATTGCAGGTACGATATCCCAACATTCACCCAAGTGGTATGGTTGGATGAAGGTTGGGGGATTGGCAAAGTGATGTGCAAGACTTCAAGTTGGATCTTGCAAACAGAATGGATGGTTGAAATCAAGAAAATTGTCCCGAGTGACGTCAAAGCTAGTTGCGGTCCCTTTTGGAAAACCGCCACGAAATTGACAATTACTTTCGCGAAACTTTTGCGAACACCAAGTTTATCTTTCCCCGGACCCAAATGAGGCAACAATGTTTCTAGTGAAGACAGGACTCCAGGACTCAGTCATTGCCTGCCAAAGCCATGGCAATCAAACATGGCAATGGAACATCGCCCTTTTATAGATGCGGTTTCCCAGGCAAATGACTACGATTTTTTTGGGGGCCAGTATAATTGGGGGGTTCCCAGTGCTATGTTGGATTGCCGGAGGGTATTCCTCCTCGAGCTTGAAGTTTGCAAGGCTTTATTGACCATCCCACTTAAAATGCACTGTCACATTAGCCTGCTCCTTCGCGCATTGCGAAGGAACCCTCCGGAAAGTATCCCAATAGGTTTTTCGTTTACATCACTCATGCATCTATATGACCCATACTTATGATGATTCTGTTTAGCTCTTGCGATTTTTTTTGCAAGGTATATCCGTGAACTGGTTGAAGGAACATCTGCAGGAAACCATTATATATAAAATATACTGAAATAAAGTAAAAATGTTAATCCTTTTAGTATACTTGAGTATAGAAACATTATTATTTTTTGATGCGAACGGTCAGCGCACTCCACTACAAAACACCTCCAGCTGGGCACCGCCTTCACGGGCGAGCTGCGGACATCGATCGCAGATCTTCGGGCAGAAGTAGCTGATGGTTTCGCCATAGCTTTGATGTTGGCAATAACCAGAGTCCTGCTGTTTTTTCAATAATGTCAACGGCGAAGTGTCAAATTTCAAAAAAAGGGCCGGATAACCCCACATGTGAATGAAGCCTTTATGTATCTAAGGTTCATGTAAACTTCGGGGAGGTGTGAGAAGTGAGGTGTGAGAAGTGGACTTGTGATGTCAGGTGTGAGAAGGGGTGTGAGAAGTGGAGCTGTGATGAGTTGGGATGTGATAAGTTGTGATGAGTTGTGATAAGAAGTTGTGATGTGATAAGTGAGGTGTGAGAAGTGGAACTGTCATGATTTGGGTTGTGATAAGTTGTGATGAGTTGTGATGAGAAGTGGACCTGTTAGAAGTGGAGCTGTGATTAGCTGTTACGAGCAGTGGAGCTGTGATGAGTGAGGTGTGAGAAGCGGAGCTGTGATGACTTGGTATGTGATAAGGTGTGATGAGTTGTGATGAGTTGTGATGAGAAGTTGTGATGTGATAAGTGGGTCCATGCTGAGTGGTGATGATAAGTCTACGGCGGCGGAGGCGGGAGCAGGAGCTCCTGTGTACTGCGCCTGCCACGCGAAAGGCAGCCGCGGCCCCAGCGGCAGCCACGCGCGCCGAGGTCGTCCAGGAGGCTTTGTGTACTGCGCCTGCCACGCAAGAGGCAGCCGCGGGCCAGCAGCTGCCACGCGCGCCGCAGCTCCACCAGGAAGCTGCGTGTACTGCACCTGCCACGCAAAAGGCAGTCGCGGGCTTCCAGGACCATCTGTGTACTGCGCCTGCCACGCGAAAGGCAGCCGCGGCCCCAGCGGCGGCCACTCGCGCCGCAGCTCCTCCAGGAGGCTCTGCGTACTGCGCTTGCCACGCAAAAGGCAGCCGCGGCCCCAGCGGCGGCCACGCGCGCCGCAGCTCGTCCAGGAGGCTCTGTGTATACACTGCGCCTGCCACGCAAAAGGCAGCCGCGGGCCAGCGGCGGCCATGCGCGCCATAGCTCCTCGTGAAGGCTCTGTGTACTGCGCCGAGTGTACTGCACCTGCCACGCAAAAGGCAGCCGCGGGCCAGCGGCGGCCACGCGCGCCGCAGCTCCTCGAGGAGGATCTTTGTACTGCGCCTGTCACACAAAAGGCAGCCGCGGGCCAGCGGCGGCCACGCGCGCCGCAGTTCCTCGAGGAGGCTCTGTGTATTGCGCCTGCCACGCAAAAGGCAGCCGTGAGTGAGTGAGTGAGGGAGGAAGTGAGTGAGTGAGGGAGGAACTGAGTGAGTGAGGGAGCAAGTGAGGGAGTGAGTGACTCAGTGTGTGATGAGTGAGTGAGTGAGTGAGTGGGGAGGGAGGGAGGGAGGGAGGGAGGAAGTGAGTGAGTGAGTGAGTGAGTGAGTGATGCGTGAGTGCGTGAGTGCGTGAGTGCGTGAGTGCGTGAGTGCGTGAGTGCGTGAGTGCGTGAGTGCGTGAGTGCGTGCGTGCGTGCGTGCGTGCGTGAGTGAGTGAGTGAGTGAGTGAGTAGTGAGTGCGGCGCGGCGGCGGACGGCGGCGGAGGAGAGCGGCGGGATCCAAGCGAAAAACAAGAACCCCACACAGTGATGTGGGGACTAAAAAACATGTGTTGTGCACTTGAGTTCGGTTACCCCTGTGGTGTAGAAAATCCACAAGGTGCATAGATGTCTTCCATGGTCTTCCTTCAAGAGTTGACGTTGCCAAGTTTGACCTTAGCAGAGTGCACAATAGTGCAAATCAACATGTTTGGTGGTTAAATCTTCTTGCTACGTTTCTTCGTTAAGCCACTCCCATGAGTGGTACAATCCCATTCCCATTTTTCATGGGCCAATCCCAAGTTCTGTCATTCCAAAAACTTTTTTGGATGGTGCCATCCCGATTTCTATCCCTACTTTTGAATCTTTTGATTCAACAAATCACCCTTTTTTTGTGGGTTCTTCGGCAGCTGGTCCTTCAGCAATTTGCAGTTGGCCTTTCGACCCTGCGACGTTCCGAACAAGTTTCCCACCGCCTCGTCCTGGTCTACACAAGCCGCATCCAGCGCATCGCATTGGTACCTGTGGCTGAGATAACCCATGGATTTGAGAGGGTAATTGATGTAAGCGCACAAAAACAAAAGGATTTAAGGATTACACAACATTGAACTGGAAGGTTTTGGTCCTTTGGTGGCGCGCGACCTTCCTCCTCACGATCGGCAACATCATTATGAAACATATAATCAAGCTCACTGAGACCAAAATAATAATCATCGTCGTCGTCGGCGTCGCCATCATCGCCATCATCATCATCATCATCACCATCATCATCATCATCACAAAGCGAGAAGTTCGAAAGACACTAAAGCAGCTGCCCTGTTGCCAGCAACTTCTTTTTTGACTTCTACTGTTTCAGCCAATGCTGTTCTTGCTGAATCAAACGGAAGTTCTTTTGTGAACAGCCAGCTTTGCCAAGACATAACCACAACATGGGGATATGAGGAGATGACATCATAAAACCAATATGCATCCATATGCAACCTACATCTGAATCTGGCTGGGATACTACTGCTGATAAATGTAAAATGATATGATGCATGAAAAAGAATATTCTGATATTCATATTACGGGAATAGGTCTTTTACCAACCAATGTGGTGGCTTTACCAAGCGACTTACACATCTATTAATGGGTTATCATCTCCAAGGTCATGGGCTTCATGGAATCTACCTGCCGTAGGCCAGGAAACACCGCAGCCCCATCCAGCTGGCAACACAACTGGGTTGCGGCAACTTTTGGCGCGCCAAGTTCACAAAGCTTGAAAAAACATTGCCATCACCTGAACCCAACGCAATGTCTGCCAAGATTTTCTCAAATCGCACACCCCTGGTCCCAGGTGCATATCCCGAAGTTGAAGAACATCCGATGGCGAAAAGTCATTCCGCTGGCCCATGGAACCATCGTGGACACCCTGACAGGACGGATGACGAACAAAGTGAAGATTTTTCTTGATCTGCCAGGAGCATTTAAATCTACGACTTACGGCCGTTGGCCCTGCCCTGCTACTCAAAGGATTATGGAAAATACGAGAAACAAAAACGTGTCTGAATGGTCAAGATAAGGTCCAAGAAAATCAATTTAAGCAAAGGTGAAAAACAACCAGGCTGTATACATGATACCGCACTATCAAAAAGAGGCATTGGTACACAAATGATTTCTGCGAGGAAATTTGATAATATATAAATAATGCGATTCATCACATGCAATCACACAGGGACCAGCCTCACTTTCGCCCATAGAAACGGCTCACTTGCGCCCAGATTGACCTAAACATACCTTTATGTAGAACAACAACCATTTAGGGTCTACTTTTAGGGACCATGGGGGGGTGTTGGGGACCGGGGGGGATTAGGGAGGGACATGGGGGCATGCAGCAACATAATGCACAGGCAACATTCCTTTATGATCTTTACGTAGAAAAACCACCATTTAGGGTCTACTTTTAGGGGACATAGGGGGGCATTGGGGACCAAGGGGGCTTGTGGACCAGGGGGGATTAGGGAGGGACATGGAGGCATGCAGCAACACAATGCACACAGGCAGCAAGCACATGGGGGCATGCTGGGGTGAGACAAATCCACGGGCACAAGCGAGGCCGTTTCCCACACACACACAGGTGTTTCAGACAGAAATCATTTACAGCGAGTACCGTTGAGAAGCGAATTCAACAAACTGAAATCACCTACATAAGTACGCACTGCAAGAAACAAGGATATGGAACATGACCCGCAAATTTCCGGAAGGCTGCTGCCAGTTGCCATTCATGATTAACTCACAAAAACGTGCCAACTTCTCTGGTTAAGAACAATCATATGGCCGCAGCCCACCTGGCCATTCACTATGGGCAAACTCTGCATTGCCGCGTCTGCTGAGTAGTGCATCACTGAGCGGTAGTCGTAGGGCACCTGGTTTTCTAAAAGCCAACAGCAGCCAAAACTAAAGGATGACCCAACTCTCTGGGCTTCCGGACTTCAATTGAGATTGTGCGAGCAATTTTCAATCTGATTGCGTCACACCGGGGATCTTCCCATGGAACAGCACCAGCACCAAGTCCAAGCGTAATAAGTGCAAAAATCCCGAACCTATACTTATCTCAGCGCACCCAGCACCAGCTGAGCTTTGGAATGTCAATTCAAGTGCCAAGTAGTTGTGAGCCCATGTGGATACCATAACTGTAGTGATATCCAGGCAACACACCCAGAAATTGGAAGTGGGAAACTCTGACCGACATCCCTCAATGACAATTTGGCATCCCAGTTCCAGCCCTTCCTTTGGTTCTGTCTATATACAAACATTATGCCTCTCTAGCTGCCCTGCTAAGGTCACGGTCAACCATGCGCATCTTAAACAGAAGCAGGCCTGCAACATTCCGCCTAGGCGCAAAACCCATCTCTCTGGATCCGATGTATGAGGTGGGGCTGCTGTGGTACTGTTCCAGGTAGTCCTGGCCAAGATTTCTTTGATCGTTGATCACATGAGGATATGAGCACCACGAAGTCCTGCGGGACGTGCATCCAGTTGATGCGGATGTACTCATCCCGGTCCTCCCATGGCGGGTCAGTGCTGGCGAGGGTGCTTTCTTTCTGCCTGATGTTTCGAAATCATGAGTCATCTGGTTGTTCATGGGAAAAGACTGAACGAACAAAAGTGGAACCTTCCAACAGTCCCTTGGAAACGTTGGGGACATGTCTATTTTTCAAAGGACATCCTGACATGCTGCTCCTGGCGCGCTTGCTCATGGGACATCCCCAGGGCATGGCCCAGCTCGTGCATGATCACGCCCGCATTCTGGCAATATGGGTTTGGCCAAAGGTGGCGGATCCCTACTGTGGCACAGTGGGAGGGTTCTTAGCCGAGGCCCAAGAAATATTGCAAATCATGCTGCGCCAGTTTGCCATGGTTCATGGCCGTACAGTTTGCATTGTGGGAACGGCAGGTTTTTGACCACTTTTATGTGAACAAACCTCGGGCTTCAACGGATAATTTCCAACAGTGGCCTATTTTTTTTTAGCTATCAACAAGCGATGTTGAAAGGTACGACAAAATTGAAAGTAGCCATTTGGTGATTGAAACTGTCAAAGACAAAACTGTAAGCCCTCTGATTCAAGCTGCTTTGAAGGCGCCCCCCAAAATTCCAGACCCATACGCATACTCCTTGCTTCTACGCCAGAGCCAGATCTACCATAACTTTGGGATCACTGATAGGTGACTGGTGGGTTCCCACACTGATGGCACTCCAGACTGCCCGAACCGCACCTGGGCACAAGTTTTAAGGTTGACCTCGCTATCATTGAAGCTGACTCCAGGATATCCAATGACACCTCAAAGACTTTGGCTTGGGGAAAAAAACAACAATCCAATTCTTGATTCCTTGACTCATACCCGCAACCAGACATGACATGTTCATCGTGAAGGTCCGGAGCAAAACGCTCCTTTGGCGCAATCATATAATGTCAAGCTCTCTCTCTCTCTCTTCTCCCTCCATGGCCATCTGGTGCAGCTACGTTGGGTTAGATTACGCTACATACAATTTGGCATAACGTGGTTCGGTCCTCTTTGCAAAGCGTCTCATACCATCTCATGGGGACTCAGCCCTCTAGTAATTTAGATTTGCGACGCGGAGATGGTTGAAGCTGGCAATGTGCCACAAGTGCCCCGGGTTGTTCACTATGACTGACCCATCTATTTACACACAGCACTAACCTGAGGGCCAGGGCTGGTGGAGATGAGGCACTCGCAAAGCAAGGTCCCGAATATCTCTCGGTCAACACAATCTTCCAGGTGAGACCAAAAGACAAGGAGACTTCCTAAGAATTCCGCGTGTCCCGAAGCTGCCAAAGGCTAAACCGCTGTGAGATAATGAAGCTTATGCTGGGGTATGTCGACCCAAATGACGTTTTGGTTCCTCCTAAAACACTTTTCTTGAATCGCTCGCATAGATGGATGAAGTTCTTCTTTCACCACGAAGGCAGAAGGTCAAATTGACCTGATTCAGACAGGCATTCAGAATTCACATGTCTGCCACAGGATTGAAGGAACTCTGCCCTGTCGTGGCTTCATATATCTTCATATCGAAGCACGGCACTAAGTTTCTCTCCGTCATTCACTGCGAGGCTTCAAAACAGATGTAAATAAGAGCCAGGACTCCTATCAAACGCATTTGGTGAAAGCATGGGAACTGAACAGCTTCACATCCCCATTTGGACATGGGCCCAAACAATTCTTTGTAAGCCGTTTGAGCAGTGCCCAGTTCACCTTCTTTACCACTACTTGGCCGATAAGGATTCCCACGCTGTACAAAATGACCCCCCATGAAACCACTTAACCTATAACCGGCTTAGCCCAAAAGCCAAACATCAACCACCAAGGGCTGAATGGTAGGAGGTCCCATCCTCATTCAGAAAAAATCCTTCACCGGGCGACTGTGAATTTGACGCAGGTCATTTGCGACAGCCGTCGCATTGCTTGCTGCACAGAAGCTTTTGTGGAGGGTAGCACCTCGGCAACGAGAAAGCGGTCAAGAACCAGTGGATGAACTTCGCAAACTTGTGTTTGGAAGCCCTCAGAAAGGTTAGCGCGCCCACGGATCGGTCTCGAAGAATGACTAGGGCCGCAAGCATATAATTCATATCATCACAAAAAAGGAAATGATGATCACCCGGTACTTGGACTGCTCAAAGGGGCCCCAACAAATCAAAACAATCCCAATAGATTCCACAACTATAATGAATAAAAATTGGAATATCAAATCACCGGCTCAACTTGAGGATCAGATTTTGGGGTAGCATCAATGGCATCAACATATCAATTCTCAGAACGCGGGCCCGGCGCGGTGTCATCGTAGGCAAAAGGGACACCGCTTCGGTAGACCGTCCAAATGGGCCAAGGCCAGCCGGAGGCGCAGGATCCAGGGTTGCAGGAGCCTTGCGAGAGAGAAATCGGGGTTTGTTAAAAGTTTGGTATACCGGAAAACCCCAAAACTATCCGATACTGCTATTTTTAATGGGGAAAATGATGGGAATGGATTGGAGTTGGGAACATCAAGGTCCATTCTGGGAACTGTCTGTGTAGAATGACTGTTTTTAGATGCATTCTGCTCACACCATCGCAACTATCAAGGCTGGGGACCTTGCAGGTTGGAAGCGGCATGACCAGTTCCTTTAAGGCATCCGACATTTAGGTAAAACGTGGTATAGCCGAGGAGCACTAAACAGTTTCACTTCTTTGACGCCACCAAGATCTACAGAAACCAAGGCCGATTTTAGCAAGCGACAATCTTCAACATTGAATTCAAACCAATGGAAGACACTGAACAAGGTCTGCAAACCGGTCTCCCTCCCCATTTTCGTCATCCTTGTGGGTGTCTGGACTACTTAGTTTGGAAGTGGAAAAAGCAAACCATTCTCAACTTGTTTCCTCCTTGAAAAATGCCAGGGGAAACCATTCAATTGTGGCGTTCTCCGCCGTTTACATCGGTTTTGTTGATGTGTTTAACCAGCAACTTTTTTGTGCTCAGCATTGATGTGGGTTTCTCATCACACCCAAGCTTTGGTCTGACTGCATCTGCCAGGACCAAACTTCCGCACAAGCAACATCCACCGACCTCCCTCAGGTCAAGAAACACATCCGAGAATGTGAGCCCCAAAATGTGCTAACAAGAGGTTGCTGCCCCAAAAATGACACGTTTCATGATTTTCCATAAACAATAGAACATCCCATGACCTGCCAACATTACTAAAGCGGATTTTTTTGCCCTCATCTGGGGTAACCAAATCACAATCCCCAAGGGAAGAAATGCTGCCCAGCAGCTCTTCTCCGCCTCCTTGGTCCAATTCAAAGCCACTCCGGCCGGGGCCGTGGGTCGAACAACCCCCTGGATGGGGACCTTTGCTGCGCGCTCGCGCTCCAAGGTGCTGACCACCGAGCTGCTAGCGATGCTCCTGGAGAGCACCCAGTGGCAATTATCGGTAATGCGGGGCAAATGCAAGTGGGTCATTGAAGATGTTGAAGTCCCTTTCTGAAGAACATCTTTTGAAACCATAGTCTGCAGCATGACATGTAAAGATGTCCGATTCCGGGCAAGTTTTCGCATCCGCAGCCCCCAAAAATGTCTTGCAAGCTGGAAGGCCACAGGTTTACCGTGTAAGACAGATTGATTCTGTGGAGCTTCTGCGGAGGGAACACCCTAGCCATAAACCAACAAGGTATTGTGCTAAAACATTACCACCTGGTAAACTAACATAGCTATAGAAAATCACCATGTTGAATAGGTAAATCAACTATAAATAGATAAATAGGGTATTTTCAAAAACTATTTATGTTAGTTTACCAGAGGGTATATGAATTGCTGAAACCGGAAAGCACGGAGAATTGGCCGGTCATTGTCCTATCATAACACCACGAGAATTCCCGGTGAAATCCCAGTGGTTGGGTAAGCCATATCAGGTTCCCTCCCGAAAGTTGGCCCCTCAGGAAATATGTGAACAATCATGAATATAGCCTACTGTATTATATAGATTAAGAATGGTTAAGGCATGTCACATCCCCACTTTCTGTGGTTGTTGAGTCATCGCCAATCCCTTTTCGGCTCCTGATGTAAGTCAAATCCGCCTCCGTCACATCGCTGCGCCAAGCCTCGACGGGCAAAGGGCCCAAGTACTGCACCGCCACGATGCGACAGGATGAGGCGTCAGGCGGCACGGCCTTGAAGCACGGAAAGGAACGTACAATTTTCATTTTTGTTTGGAAGATATGAAAATAAGACCTAAACACAAGTAGCATGGGGGTATAGCAAGAATGTGACTAACATCGGTGATTCATCACGAAATGTAATGAACTTTCTTAAAGCGATGGAATTCAAAACCATCCAGACATGGTGGGGTATTGAACGGCTACTACCTTTGCGGCAGCTCAAGCAGGCGGAAGAATAAAAGCCAAAAGGACCGTTCGACCTACTGTTCTACCTTAGCAGTCAGAACCCACCATTTGCCCAATGCAAAGTGAGTCATTTGCACTTCTGGGCACAAATTTCATATAAGTTACCCAGTTAAGAACCAGGTCTTATGACTGTAAACCGTGTATGTTCCGATTAGGTGGAAGGTTCCCTCACAGAAAAGGGGTCGGAAAGAGATTCCTTTTGCGGCAGCAATGAATAGATCTGATATGAAACCAAGGGAAACACAGTCGGCCGCCAAGCAACAGCTTGTACCTTTTTTCAGGCCTCAGGTCTTGAGCCAAATGCCCAGTTGCATTCGGCGGGTGCTTGTCATCCATGTGCGTGTCATCCTTGCTAGCAGGGGCCTCAAGGCATGGAGCTGCCAGCTGGAGACATCTGTACTATCTTTGAAAAAAGGGGTGGTTACGTGCTTAACTGCTTCACAGCTCGCACTCCCCCCACTCCAGTGCCCCACCGCTGGAGTGCTACAAACTCAAAAATTTCTCAGACCTCCTCTATGACGCTCCACTCGCCGCTAGTTTCTTCGGCATTGGCAGGAGGTCGCGGGGTCTGAGAACCAGCCTGTACAACTACTCGGCCCCTCTCAGCAGCGCCTCCTCGGCGGTAGCCCCAGCGCAGAACAGCGCCAGAAGCAGCAGCCGCAGCCGTAGAGCTCGAAGGTTCCGCAGCAGCATTCGAGGTAGAGCTCGAAGGTTCCGCCGCAGCATTCGAGGTAGAGCTCGAAGTCGTTGTAGGCCCAAAAGGTTCCTGAGTTGGCACATACGGTAAAGGACCATCTTCCCCCGCATGGTAGCGAGGTACCTGTCCGATACCGTCCTGGTTTCCCTCCAGGCTCTTCAGCTTGAAGAACGTGAAGCCCCTCCAAGACTCCTTGGTGGGAAAGAGATCCCTAGGTCCATCCGACCATCGATCTCGGTGGACAGTTCTTCGACCGTCCTGTCCAAAGGCTACGGTCACCCACAGCGCTTCCAAGCAGTTGGGGTCGAATGGAACACCACGGTGCAGCGGGTGGAACCTTCGCTCTCGCATGGTTCCATGTTTTCTCATCACCCAGCCCTTCAGCTGTGGCGTCCATCCATCCTTCTTTCCCGAGGGCGGCTGTTGGAACTCAGCACGTTCCCAGGGTTCCTCTTCATCGGCTTGGCCTTCTTCTCCCTGCTGACGTCGACCATGACCTTCGTCGCGGCCAGTGTTGCATGGCATCCTCAGCGCGGCCAGCTTCAAAGCAGGTGCAGGAGGATCTGGTGGTGGATCACGTGGTCCTCTTTCGACGACCGGCAACCTCTCGATCTCCTCCTCTTTTTTCTTTTTCCTTTTCTTCTCCTTTTTCTCACGATCCTTGTCGGATCGATCTTCTGATTGTTCCTTCTCCGAAGGAACTTCTGGCGGCACCTCCTCCTCAGGCTCTTCATTGGACCCAGCTGGATCCCCTGTCCACTCTTCATGCTCTTCGGACCGATCAGGTGAAGCTGGCACAATCACCATTGGCTCACCTTCAGGAGTGTAGTACCCCCATTCCACGGTCCTTCTGCCAAAACCTCGCACTGAGTAGGACACCAAATGCCCAGGAAGGTGCATCGAGCTTCTGGAGCTCGAAGGTCCGTCATCTGTTGTCGGCCCAGCGTCCGTAGTCGGTCCAACATCTGTTGTCGGCCCAGCAGCTGTTGCCGTAGAGCAGAAGTCCTCGGCGGATTCTTTGGTTCCGGGGGCCTGAAGCTACCATGTCCAGCAGCATCAACCAAGGGGTATAGCGGTGGTGTGGTAGGCACCGCTTCTCCCAAGATCACCACTGGCGTTCCTGGAGCAGCTTCCGGAGCTTCAGGCGCTTCAGTTGGCTCTTGGTCCCTTCTATTTCCTCTCCACTTTCCCCAGTCATCGTCGGTGTCTGCCGAAGGTTCGGAGCGGGTCTCAGCAGGTACTGCGACGGGGGTTGGCTCCTCCTTTTTTGCTCTCTTGAAGGACTCCAACTGATCCTCCGCAGTTTCCCCTTCACCTTCATGTCGGTGCCCTTTGCCCTTCTTCTTCTTCTTTTTTTTCTTCTTCGAAGGCTCCGGCTCATAGTCGCCCTTCACCCAGGACTTGTCCGGCCGATCTTCGTCAGGTTCATCTCCTCCAGCTCCATCACCAGTCGTGCTTGCCATGGCGTCGCGCAAACGCAATGCGCAAGTTCTGAACGACCCGGGGCAGCCCTCAGGGCAGTGGTTAGAACCCGAAACAACGAAAAGAAGGGGTTCAGAACAGAGTTCTGCTGCACCGCCACTCTCAGTACTAGCCACGCGACTCCCAAAAGCGTCAAAACTGGGTTTACTATCCCCCAAACCTTTTTGGATTCCCAAACCAAAACTCCTAGGGGTTTCCCTTCCCAAAACCTTGGTTCCTTCGGGGTTTTCGGGGGTCAGCCCTTGCGTTGAACCGGGTTCATTTTCCCTCGGAACAACTTCTACCTTCCTTAGGGTCGGTTCATTTTCCCGGACCTCTTGAAAATCTTGTCGGCCAATGGCTCTTGCTTGTTTTTCCTCGTTGATCATCTCATCCAAGGTACCTAGAGCTTCCAAGATTGAAGAAAGGTCGTCTAAAGACTGTTGATTTAACCCTGGCCAGTCCGGATTCTCCAATCTCTTCAGCCGTACAACCAATGACATCACCACCAAAGTGAAAACCACAGCTACAAAAGCCTTGACCTTTTCGGTCACCTCACCTACGATGGGCACATTGACCCATTTTTTCAAGGAAGAAACTACCGTAGCGGCCTTCACCTTGAGCTCGTCAGCGGTCTCCGTCTCGCGCCATTCCAACTCGGCACCAGCGACCACATCAGGCAAGAAGTCTTGGTTCTCAGGCTCTCGTTCACCGACCTCAGTGTTCCTTAGTGGTTCATCCTCAGTCACCAGGTCACATCGGGATTTGTGGGTACCCAAAAATTTCCAAAACCTCTCCCAAGCCCCTTTAGCTACTATAGGTTTGGTTAAGTAGTCCGCTATGAGTTCCGTCCCCTTGAGGTGTCGGATCTTCCAGTCTCCTTTTTCGGAGCGGAGTTTTTCCTTGAGACAGTTGGACCGAAGTCTCAAATGTCTGGTTCTCCAGGGCCCGTCGGGCTGCTGTAGTATTGATATGGCAGACGTGTTGTCACCATATAATACTTTTTCAAACTGCTGTGAACCATATATCACTTGCAGCAAAGCCTCTACCGACTGAACCATCACCATAGCTTCCACGTACCCGACCAGCTCACTCTCAGCTGTGGACAACGTGGCAAAAGCTTGTCTCGTTGCTTCCCACAAGAGCGGTGCCCCGCCCACACAGGTGAGAATCCCCTGCAGACTCCTTTCTCCTTGTGGTGCAAAACTGATGTCACTGAAGGATTCTATCAGTTTTTCGTGCCTAGGGATCGGCAAGTTGCCTTCCGGCCCCCTGTCGCCCTGCCTTCCTTCGTACATCAATCCCAAGTCAGGAGTTCCAGCCAAGTACTCTAAGATTCCTTGACCCACCTGAACCGCCCACCGCGGTCGCTTGGATACCTGACGTCCCATCTGCGCCACGGCAAAGCTTAGATCTGGTCGGCTCCGTGTAGCAAGCCAGAGTAGTTCCCCTGTCAGTGCCTGAGCAGCCTTGATTTCCTCCGCAGTCACGGTTTCCTCCAAGGCCTCTGGCACCTCTATTTTGGACATTGGCACGGCCTTTTTGTTTTTCACCCCATGTCTCTGCAGGAGATCTCTGGTGTAAGAAGGCTGTGCTACCTGGAGGCGATTTTCACCCGCCCACTTCAGCTCGAAACCGCAAAACCGGACCCATTTCTGGTCATCCACATGTTCCGGAGCAGAAATTTTCCACTCCTGCTCGACCCTGTTCAGGAAACCAAGTCGCACTGACCGTTCAGCCCACACCATTAGATCGTCCACATAGACAATGATGTGTCCCACGCATTCCGGCTCAGTTGCCTCTTCACGGCCTTCTTCCGCGGCCTTAACCTTCCAAATCTTCCAGAGATTTGCTTCCTCCGTCGGGCGAAGGTAAAACATCCATTCACCTTCCAGCCATTGAAAGGTTTTCATCGTTCGATCTCTGTGCGCTGACCAATGCGCCGGGCTCGAAGTGAATCCGTAAAGCGCTTTATGCACTCTCCACCTTTCGATTGCCGGGATTACTCCCGCTTGTATCATCACCTTTGGCGGTACGACTATGACCTCTCGTCCACCTTCAGGCTTCGGACGCGGCGCGAGCAGAAATGCTGTGCGTATATCTGTGACAGATGCCCCCCAGTTTCGTTGGACTCCATGGTTGATCACAGCTCGGATCATTGTTCCATCAGCCCCTGAAGCGTAGGCTCCACTGGGCGCTGGATCCCAGGCACTGTCCAGCAGGTTTCCACAGATCACTGCTCTGCACTTTTTTCGTCCACCATTTTTCCCCGCCTTGCGTACGCACACCAGTTTTCCTGGGACGTACTCAACCTGCTCATCGTCCAGGTCGCAAACCGACACCGGCTCGATGGCTTGAGTCTCCTTCACAAGGCTATTGTATTCCCCCTGCATTGCAGGAGTCCAAGCGGCCAAATCCCTTCTGACTTCTTCCAGTGCCACTGTGGTGGACTGAAGAACTTCTTCCTGATCCCCTTCACCATTCTTCGGGATCCCCTCGGTTCTCAGTCCGCACAGTCGAATCATGTCCGCCTTTTGCAGTTTTGACAACACTTGGAGCATTTCTTCCAGCTCCAGGCGATCTTGAAGCATGTAACGGAGCTGTTTTCCGTATTCCAGTCCCTCCTGTTCACTCGTTGGGACCCGTCTCAATGCTTCACTCAAACCCATCAGAAGCCGATTGTGGCTTCCCAACAGAACCCCTTCCGCTTGTTCCTTGCGGATTTTTCTCACTATAATTTTTTCCAAGTCAGGCACATTCAGCGCCGAAAGAGACTCCCCCCCGGAGGCAACCTCCGGAAGCTCGAGTGCCGAGACCCTCCCCCCAGAGGCAACCTCCGGGAGCTCGAGGTCTGCAGTGTCTTCAGGGCCCAAACTAGGAGAGTAAGGCGCATCCGCTGGCAACTCGGCTGGTAGAAAGCCTAATTGCGCTGGAGCCTCCCCCGTTTGTTCAAAGTCATCCCTGTTGACGGTTGAGTCTACAACCAACTGTTGAACAGGACCATAAGCTTCGCGGTCTGGCAAAGCGATCCCTGACCGGTTGGACGGCGGCTGTTTACCCACGAGCCTTCGTCGTGAGGGTTCCGCTACCGCTCCATTGTCATCTCTTTCTTCCAGTTGCGGCAAATCAGCCGATTCTTCCCGCAATTCCATGGCAACCTGCTCTCCCAGGGATGCAGGCAGAATGGCCTCTCTTACATGGAGCACCTGCCCCGCTTCCGACCGCACGACCCAACCTTGACTCATATTGGGGCTAGCAGTGAGAAGCGTGGCATTGACATACGGAGGAGCAAGTACTCCAGGGGAATGCCATCGTTTCCTTTTCACAACCACAGAGGCACCATACGGAAGCATGGGCATCATGGTGACGCCCAGGGCACTCAATTGGACCCTCATTCTCTCTTCGGCCGAGTACCGGAGAGCGGTGGGCCACTCATCGTTTGTAAACCCAGCATTCCGCAGGTAAAGCCTGGTTCTGCGTTTCAGTTGGTTGATTTCCGCTTCGACATGACCATTATTGGCGGGGTCATCGCCACCACCAAAGGTATGTCTGAGACCATTTTTTGCACACCAGGCAGCTGTTTGCCTACCAATCAGTTCTTTGGCCCGATCGGAGTGGAGACGATTCACATTGATGCCATATGACTTCATACGAACTAGCAATTGTGATAGCGCGTTGAGCACTACGGTGGTAGACCGTGACTGAACCGGTTCTACCATGGTCACATGTTTGAGTTTCAGAGGTCGGCTGCACTTGCTGATCTCCTCATCAACCCAGTCACCTGACTTCTGATGGGATGCCTCCCCCCCAATTTCAGGGTCAGCCCCCGGAGCATTGGCTGGATCGTGGGACGCCTTGGCAACTTCGTCGCCGAGCTCTGGTGACCCAGATTCTTCTTCTCCCTCCAATGGGAACTCAGATTCCTCCAAACCCTCCCCCCAATCTGGCGCTTCCACCACTTCCGTGGGCGGCTCTTGGAGCGGAGGTTGGTGATCCTCATCGAATACCGGGACTAAGGCGGTGGCTACCACCGCATATTTGACCTGATCCCCAGAAATGGAATCTTTTGTTTCCCCAAACAGAACCACATCTACACCAAGTGACCATGCCGAGGTTCCAGAATACATTCGCCGGCGATGGGGTGGTCCTGCCGCCATATCTAGCACACAAGCACGACAGTCGCGCCTGTACGGTCGATGGCCTTGAAGGATGTGAGTCCTCCACTCTTGACGGCTCAAAGCCTTTTTCAACTGGTTGTCCGCTAATCCACATTGGTGGATCAACAGGTTCAGAGACACCCTCAGGGCGTGTTTGAGTCCCGGGGCCCATGCAGACCAATCATCGGTCTGTTTGACCCTCTCTGGAATTTCTGGATGCAAGACCTTTCCATGCGGTCTTTCACAGCGCGCTTGATCCAGATCCTCCAAAAACGGAAGATTGGACAAGCAAGAGGTTGGTTTCACCCTCTCATGTCCGTACCGACCCTGATCAAACGATATCAACCGCATGTCAGGTTGTTCTAGGAGTTGAGTGACTTCCGGCCATACCCAAAAGGTTGGAGAATTCGCTTCATTCGCCCACACGGCAGGGTCTTCCGGCGACTCCAAAAAGAATCCCACCCTCGGATTGTCATCCGTTTTGGATTCCTCGGCCAGTCGGTGTAACCCAACCTGTTTTAGCAGAAGAGCACTGTCTCCATCCACCTTGTGTTGTTCTTGGTCACTCAGCCCTGGGAGTCCGAACCTGTGCTCACACCGATCTCTCAGTGGTCGCAGTCCAGACTGAAGGGCTTGTAAGCGACTTACTGTTCGACATGGTGGGCCGCCAATGATTGCCACGATTGGGTGAGTTCGCACCACATGTGCGAGAAAGGCCCAAACCTCTGGTCGGTGAAGATTCTGTTGATCACTGTCGGCCGTATCGACCGTGAGTATTTCTATTCCAGGAGGCCATCCCTTTTGCCACTCTCGAGCAGATTGCCTCGAGCCGGCAAATAAGTGGATTATAACCCCCTTTGCCTTCCGCAGGCGCTTGCGCACTCGGCGGTTCCACGGTAGGGTTTCTCCCTTTGGCATTCCAGCATTCTGCCCCACCATGAATTCCAAAACTGAATCCGGAACATCCGGGTACCTTTGATTCCACCATTGACGCTCTTCCGCCGAAAGCTGCCCCGCGGCCAGTTTCGGACCCAATCTCTTGAACCTTTCTTGGTCCTCAATCTCTTTGATGAGTTGAAGCGCATGTTGCTTCCTCACTACCGGACATCCATTTCTCAACCAACAAGAGATGCGACCCACCTCTGGATGTGAGATGACACACCCCCGCGAATCCCATCGGATTTTGTAGCCCAACGCCACAACACCCCGCAGCGGAACGATCGGTTCCACTTCGGTGGGCGAAAGTAACACCCCGGTAGACATGTTCTGGTACAACTGGACAGATCCAGTTGCCAGCTCCACGTCAACCAATGTTGCCGCTTCGATCTCTTCCTTGGACCCTTTTCTCAACGGGTTGGTAGCCCCACCATCCAGGAGACCGGTCTCAATCATCTCGCTGGCAGCCTTACACAAGGCCCCCTTGGCACAGATGGTCTTCATGACCGGCACGATCACCTTCAAAACGGATTTGCAATCCTGCACCATATCGTCCACACCCTCCTTGTCTTCCAACGGTTTAGTCGGAGTACCTTCTTCACGGTACGTGGTGTGACGACTTGGCTCAGCCTTCACTGCAGTTTCCGCACCGCCCTTGGCAGCGGATGCAGAACTACTGGCATGATCCTTTTCAACCTTTGTCTTGGCAATCTTCTTTTTCCCCACCGGGCAATCCTTCTTAGAATGCCCCACAGCGGAACACTTGAAACAGCGGTTGTCCTTCGGATTCAAGACCGAGTGAACATACCGACATTGGTCCGCCTTGCGGCAGCCGTTCTCAGTGCCCCAAAATTTGCACGCCATTGACGACGTAACTGATCCCGCATTAGCCGCTGTGATGCCTGACCCCCCAGCTGGTTTCCCAGCCTTGTCGCCTTGGTCAGCACCATCATGCTGAGCTTTGTTTGCTGAAGCGCCCGGGCTTGGTCCATTCAACGACTTAACGTTGACCTTCCCGCCCCCACTCTTGGAGGTAGGTTGGCCCAGTCCCAGGCCTTGAGAATTCACATTCATCTCTTCGGCCTCCGCTTGGAGGTGTTCTGAGTACGACATGACCGTGTCTCTTGTGGGTTGGTGATCCACATTGAGTTGTTGGCGTATCATGTTCAAACGATATGCCACCTGTGGTGACTTCTGGCTCAAAAAGTCCGAAGCCCGCTGCAGAGCTCCAACCAAAACCAACGCGTCAGGCAGAGTCACCCCCAATTCAGAGGCTCGGTTCACATTTCTTCTCCAGTGTCGGATACCTTCCAACACTTCGGTCATGGTTTCTCCAAACATACCACCAGTGATGGCCTGAAGGAGTTTGGTGCGCTCACCTGCCCCACCAGGCTGGTAAACGACCATCAATTTGAAGATGATCTGTTCTGAAGTCATCCTTCTTGACGACACCAGGTCATCTCGGATAGCACTAGGAATGGCCTGTAGCAACATCGCCACAGCTCTGCGTTCAGTTCGAGGCCAGAGACTTGCATTGGCATCCAGGGTTGGTCTAAGCCTAAGCCTTTCCAGCGGACCCGATCTCAACCACTCCCCATAGCATGATTCGGCCGCAGACTTCACCATACCCCACCAGAGGTTGGAGGAATACGACAGATCTCCCATTTGGGAATCCACCATACTCATCCAGTCCCCGAATTGTAGGGCCGTCGTGTCGACTGTGAGCCGAGGTAGCTCAAAGGTTCTCAGGGTCTCATTCGGATTCTCTCCCAGAAAGCCGGCTCCCCGACTTACCCCAGCGGGCTCCACTGGAAAAGGAGGAACAGGGAGCGGCGGAGGCGGTGGCGGTTGGCCACCACTTCCACTACTCACTCCATCCATCTTCTGCGGTGAAGCTGGCGGTGGTCCTGGAGGCGGTTTCGGTCCGCCCGTCTCTGGGATTTCTTCGGCCGAGGCAAAAGAAGCTTGGGACCCCTGATCCTGCTTCATCATCAACAGCCCTTGCCGAAATTTTTCTTCAGCTTCCCGCAAGCACCTTATACGAAAAAGTTCAATGGGGTCAAGTTCTACATGCGGTTTTTGGGGGGTATCTGGTTCAACCCATTGTCCTATTCCCCAACCTTCGCCTCTCAACCTTTCCATTGCTTTCACCTCAGGGCTCCAAAACGGGTTCAGCTGAACACCAGCAGAAGCGCTTGCTTCCGGCAAACTATCTGGTCTTTTCACCATTTGGGATTCCGGCCCACCATGCTGCAACAACCCCGGAGGTCTTTCTACACTAGCTGGACTACAGAGTTTCCTATCCCCTGGACTAGATCCCATCAGCACAACCCGATCCCCTTTCGAGGCACTACTAGTGATCCCATCCCCATTTGGGTTACCACCAACCACCTGACTACCATCTACAGTCCTCTGACCATCTTCTCGCCGAGCAACCGTAGGACCAAGTGCAGTCGGGGAACCAACAGGGTGTCGTAGATCTGCAGCTTCTCGAGGTTCTTCACGCTGTACATGATGTTCACCATCGCCAGTTTCAAGGACAACCACTCGTCGAACACCTGGTGCTTCATCTCCGAGTTCCAACCCAGCAAAGCTCGCTGGTCCCAGTGGCTTCAACGGTTCCAACGGGAGGAGAGCCCCGGAGGCCGTCGGCCCTTCAACCAAAGCACCCGCTTGGGCGCCACCAACCACGGTGCTAGTCGAGGCACCACTGACGCTCAGAAACTCTGAGCCCTGAGCCGCTGCTTTCGGTGCTGCAGTGGTAGTTGGAGCAGCGTTGAGCTCATCCTGCAACCTCTCCAACATTTCCTCTGCGGTTTCACCGGCAGAAGCTTCTGCCTGTCGCTGCGAAGCGCGCCGACGTTCCAACATGGCGCTAAGGCAACGGGTTTGGGCTCATAACCCAAGGGAAACACAGTCGGCCGCCAAGCAACAGCTTGTACCTTTTTTCAGGCCTCAGGTCTTGAGCCAAATGCCCAGTTGCATTCGGCGGGTGCTTGTCATCCATGTGCGTGTCATCCTTGCTAGCAGGGGCCTCAAGGCATGGAGCTGCCAGCTGGAGACATCTGTACTATCTTTGAAAAAAGGGGTGGTTACGTGCTTAACTGCTTCACAGCTCGCAGAAACCAACATTTCCAGGGTGCTCCAAAAAACTAAAGGGTAAGGAATGCTACGCCTCCATTTTGGGAGCTCGAATCAAAACCAAGGGATCCACCAGATCCTATATGTGGCTCCACCTTCAAAAACTTCGACAAACCATAGCGGCAGCTGGTGATTCATCACGTCACTTCCGGGTCTGAAATCAACCGCGGCAGCCGGGAGGCCGAAGTTGGGTCAAAGTGAAGATCTTCTCTGGGCATGACATCTTTGGCCCAGACCTGGAGAATAAAACTGGGGCCCGGATTCATGTGGGTTCATGTGGGTTCAGTTGCATCAATGAATTGACTTGAAGGAAAAAACAAACCAGGTGGAAACGGAAGAATGGCCAACAATGTCAGACCAACCGACAACAACGGATGATGTCACCAGGATATGGGGAAATCACTAAGCAAATGTGATGCCTTGGAAAAAGGCGGACAATGTGTCCAACTACAAGGTGGGGCACAGGGCCCTCCAAGAATAGTTTTGGCCTCTACTTAGCAATTTAGGGAACCCTGCTATACTCCATAATGTGATGATATGTGATGGTCCATATTCTGAATTTCAGCCCAGGTAAGCGGCGCCTGAAAGTTCTGCTCGGACGCGCCGCATCTGCATTCTTTGGCATCCACAACGCCCGAGATGTCAAAGCCTCTCGGATGGGTATGGGTATGCGAGATTTGTCCCCCACCTGGTAGGAGTTGATCGGCCGCAAAACGCCCCTTAAAACCCTGAAAGGAACTAGCAACAAAGGCACCAAGCTTTGAGTTAGGACGGCCCTTCATGGCGGTTCTGGATTTGATCAACATCCAATGAACTACCCGAACACGCAAAACATGCGCTACACATGGGTTAATTGCCTTCAGCCCTCCACATAGATTAATGTCGGGAATGCTGAGTAAATACGGATTTGGCCTGACATGTTCTCGGGATTCTTTGGCCTCATTTATAACCGTTTGCATCACAACGTTCGGCTGTTTAAATCATCATGATCATCTATCTCTACTTTGATTGCCTGAGCCCTCATATGTTTTGTTTGCACGCCAGTTTCGAAGTGACCCAACGATACCCAACGATTGTAGCTGAAGCCGACTTCAACCGTCCGCGTTTCCGGCCTTTCAAGAGGCAAAGCTTGGCGCACCATCGCCAAGGTATCACTCTTCCTGACAGTTTATTGGGGTCAGGGAACACCCAGAAGTGGGGGCCTCCATTTATCATTGATCCGCAAGAAGAGCAGCTATAAATAAACCAGAGGCCATCCTTAGTTGATAAGGGGATTTCCGGTCGACATATAATTCACGAAAGATTTTGGTATACAACGTTATACAACCAGCAAGATGGTAATCCAGAATGTAGCCCATGAAACGCGGTGGACCGGTCCATTCAGCGATTTGTGTTGCATGATCCAGTCTGCAAATGCAACGGGTTGGTGGTCTCAACCCCTCTGAAAAACATTAGTCAGTTGGGATGATTATTCCCAATATATGGAAAAATAAAAAATGTTCCAAACCACCAACCAGACAATATTGCTTGGTAGTTGGTAGGTCTTCAGAAATTGGTTGTCCGCAACAAAGTCTCATCGCTGCCCGGCTTCCCAGTGCACCATCGCCCAGCGGCCAGTACTAAAGCGATAGAAGGGCAAGCCGCTTCGACATCGGAGTTGACCAAGCAGGCCGTTTTTCTCTGGATCCATGCAAGCGTTATCTCCTTGGCAAAGCATGCAGAAGAATATTCGATATTAATCAGGAGGAGGTCGCTCATCCCAAGGTAAGCCACAAGGACGACCCAGAACCAGAAGAAGAAGAAACAGAAGAAGAAGAAGAAGAAGAAGAAGGAGGCACAAATGCAGGTTCAAACAAGGAGGGAGCAAATCAAGCACGTACAGAAGTAAATATAAACGTAAATGGCTAGCACGCAGCCAAATTATGCATCTTCACGTCAGGTTACATGATTGCCTGACCTTCAGTTCTGTCACAAGGTTTGTGACAATGACGGAAAGGATGCCGAAGTGAACAGTCGTGGTGGCACATCAAATCGGAAGAGTCTTTATGCCATGAAGGAACGACATCAAATCCTGCGTATGGGCCACAAACATTCCCAAACTCAATAGCGGCTTGTGACCTTTTCTCAACATCGACCTGCCCAATGTTGGCGTTTTTTTGGGGTCAACCCGTACGATGGAAAAACAGGGTTCATTTGGGCAAACCCCAGATTCAAGGTAATTAGAGCCTTTGAAAGGCTAATTATCCTAATTATCCTAATTAATTAGGATGATTAGGATAATTAGCCTCCTGGAGAGCCTTTGAAAGGCTAATTATCCTAATTATCCTAATTAATTAGGATGATTAGGATAATTAGCCTCCTGGAGAGCCTTTGGAAGGCTAATTATCCTAATTATCCTAATTAATTAGGATAATTAAGATAATTAGCCTCCCGGAGAGCCTTTGGAAGCCTAATTATCCTAATTATCCTAATTAATTAGGATAATTAGGATAATTAGCAAAATCAAAGGTCTGGACCCTGGAGGCTTTAGCAATAATTAGGATAATTAGGATAATTATCCTAATTATCCTAATTAATTAGGATAATTAAGATAATTAGGATAATTAGGCTTCCAAAGGCTCTCCGGGAGGCTAATTATCTTAATTATCCTAATTAATTAGGATAATTAGGATAATTAGAATAATTAGAATAATTAACAAAATCAAAGGTCTGGACCCTGGAGGCTTTAGCAATAATTAGGATAATTAGGATAATTAGGCTGCCAAAGGCTCTCTGGGAGGCTAATTATCCTAATTATCCTAATTAATTAGGATAATTAGGATAATTAGGCTTCCAAAGGCTCTCCGGGGGGCTAATTATCTTAATTATCCTAATTAATTAGGATAATTAGGATAATTAGGATAATCAAAGGTCCGGACCCTGGAGGCTTTAGCAATAATTAGGATAATTAGGATAATTAGGCTTCCAAAGGCTCTCCGGGAGGCTAATTATCCTAATTATCCTAATTAATTAGGATAATTAGGATAATTAACACAATCAAAGGTCTGGACCCTGGAGGCTTTAGCAATAATTAGGATAATTAGGATAATTAGCCTTCCAAAGGCTCTCTGGGAGGCTAATTATCCTAATTATCCTAATTATCATAATTAATTAGAACAATTAGAACAATTAGAATAATTAGGCTTCCAAAGGCTCTGTGGGAGGCTGATTATCTTAATTATCCTAATTAATTAGGATAATTAGGATAATTAGGCTTCCAAAGGCTCTCCGGGAGGCTAATTATCGTAATTATCCTAATTAATTAGGATAATTAGGATAATTAGGATAATTAGCAAAATCAAAGGTCTGGACCCTGGAGGCTTTAGCAATAATTAAGTTAATTAGGATAATTAGCCTTCCAAAGGCTCTCTGGGAGGCCCATTATCCTACTTATCCTAATTGCTTTGGATAATTAGGCTAATTAGGATAATTAGCAAACTGAAGGGTCTGAAACCTCAAGACTTTAGCAATAATTAAGATAATTAAGACAATTAGCTTCCCAAAGGCTCTCCAGAAGGCTAATTTTCAATATTATCCTAATTAATTAGGATAAGCGGGACAATTAGCTTTCCAAAGGCTCTCCAGAACGCTATTTATCCTAATTATATCTAATTGTCCTAATTAAACAGGATAATTAGAATAATTAGGATAATGAGCAAACCAAGAGGTCTGTAGCCTCGGGGCTCTGCCAATAATCAGGATAATTAGGATAATTTGCCTTCCAAAAGCTTTCCAAGACAATGAGGAAAATTGCCATAGTTAGGGCAATTAGCAAACCTGAAGTTTCAGAGCCTGGAGGCTTTAGCTATATTCAGGATAGTTAGGATAATTAGCCTTCCAAAGGCTCTTCGGACTGCTAGTTATCTTAATTTTCTTAATTAATTAGAATAATTCGGATAAGTAGCCTTTCAAAGGCTCTTCGGAAGGCTAATTATCCTGATTATCCTAACTAATAAGATTATTCAGATAATTATCAATTATCAAACCAAGAGGTGTGGAGCCAGTGGGCTTTAGCAATAATTTCAGCTCAATAAGGAGAATTAGCTTTCCAAAAGGGTATCTGGATTGCTAATGTTCCTAATTATCTTCATTGATTAGGAGAACTAGAATAGTTGGGAATCAAAAGGTCTGGAGCCTGGGATGTTACCAGTAATTAAGATAGTGTGGACAATTAGCCTTCCAAAAGGTTTCCCGGAATGCTGATCCCCAGAATCTTGGTAAGTATCCTAACGATACTGAGGATAATTAGTGACACAATCTGTTTTTGAGGCAACTAGTGCACACACATATGTACTTGTGAAGCTGTTTTGTTTTTTTTCCTTCAGTTTGTTTTTTGCGAAGACAGTTGCATATGGTTACTTTACTTGAGAGAGTTTACCTGAGATCTATGTCTATATAAATATGTATTTACAACATTTGCTTGAGAGACCCTACGCAATGTAGTTTTGATAGCGTCAGCTACTTGACGGTTAGTTCGTGGGATTGTTGGTGTCAATAACGATGTGGGAAAATACGATGGCCGGACGTGCTTGGCCATCGTATTTTCCCACATCAACTTGCGGGTGAAACCCACTTACATGTGAAACCCAAACTTCTCAAAACATATATATATATATACACAATACATAAGTAATCTCACAAATTTACAACTGCAGATGCAACGCAAAGGTTTTCGGAAAGACTGCATCATAAGGATCCTTATAATGCAAATGAAGCGGTAGGTAATATATATATATGTGTGTGTGTGTCTGTGTACATATGCATATATGATTATATAGTAGCAAATAATAGGTGAATAATAAAACAAAAGGTGTGTAAATGGGAGGGTTTATTTTATTTTTTTTGATTAATTCTGAAAGGCCCCAGACCCAAACTCTCGTTGAACTCACCGAGGAACTGCTGACAGGGGGGTAAAGAGGTTTGGTGGGTGGTGTGTGTGTGCAGGTGGGGTTCTTACTATTTCTTGAGTCTATATTATATATCATATTTATTTATCAAATATATGTCAGGAAAATATCTATCAAATAAATGTCATAAATATATGTATGTCTTGAAAAAGGATGGAAGGCATGAAAGTGCGAAGCACTGAAAAAATGTATATATATATATACACATATATATATATGAATGAATGAATCTTGTTTGATTAATTGTGACCTTGCTAATCCATCGACCCACATTGGGGGTGTGCATCAGCGCTTCTTGTCGCCTGACATCCTGACAACAGGGGGGTGCATAAAGAAAAAATATATGACACATTGTTGGGAGTGTCCCCATAAGAAAAGGGTATGAAATATGTTTGGGAGTTTTCCCATAAAAGTTGGTTGGGTATGAGGCAATGTAAATGGGACTATGTCTACAATAATGGGAGTATAATGGGGTTAGTTATGATTAAATGGGGATCACTTAACACTATATATATAAATGGTGGTTAGTTATGATTAAATGGTGTTTTTGCTTACTGTACCGCCTGCATATATATATATAACTATATATATATATACATATTTACCCAAGATATTATGGATGATTATGCTCCTTAAATAGTTTTATGCGAGGATGTGTATATTATGTATAGCTGACCTCGCCGAGCTGCTTGAAGATAAGAACGCTCATCCATCATCTTCCCTTTTTTCCGGGGTCGGCCGCAGGGGCAGCAGCCCTTATATGTAAACACATGTTCCATGTCTGATTTGACCTTTTCTATTTTTGATTTGTTTAGTTTGATCTGGTTTTACCTGCCTGTATGCACACAACATCGCAAGTCTGAAGACTCCCCAAAAGCTCTGGTTAGGCTAATTCCTGCCTATTAGGTTATTTTAGTTTTTAAGGTTAAATTCGATCTATTAGGTTCTGTCTTTTAGGTTATTTGTTTTTTGCCTAAATAGTGTATTTAACCTAAAAACTGTCTTGTTTGAGACTTGGTTTTTCTTTCACTAAACTATGTTTTCAACAGTTTAAACTAAAGACACAGTCTTTTTCCATATTTGTTTCCTTCGGGATTTTTGAATTACATGTTCTTTTTGGCAAATAGTTTTTCAAATGTTTCTTCGTTGTGATGTATGTCGTTGTCTTTTCATATATGCGGATCTGAAGTGATTTTTGTGCTAAAGTGAAGCCTGTTGTGCTAAAGTCTAAAGTAAATCGATAAATTTCAGTCGGATATGTTTTAGATGGGGCAAGCCAACACAGCATGGAAGCAACAAAAACACATATCCAAAACAAATCAAAACAATATATGGGCAAATGGGTGTCTCAAAATGAGGTGTCCTTTTTTGACCCCAAAACGGTTACTTTAAAGGGAAAAAAGGTCACCTCATTTTCAGACATACCTAAGCAAGAAAAAACATGTTTTGCAACAATGGCAATGGATAGTTTTTGGGAGCGCCAAGCCAGCACAGGATGAAAAACCAAAAACAAGAAGAAAAATGAAACCAACAAATGCAAAAACAACAGCACAAAGTAATAAATCAAAAAATGTGAAAACAATTGTCCAAAACCTAACTTGTCAGCTGCATCGTTTATGAAACTCAGAGGAGTTCACGTGAATCCGCGGGTGCTCATTGCTCATGGGTGTTCATCTGTGTTTTTCATTTTTTCGGCTGCCACCCATTTAGCTTACTCAGTGGGTTTCCGTGCTCAAAAAGAAAAATCAAAGTAAGTTT